TCCCCCTCCCTTCCTCCCTCCTCCCCCCTCCCTCCCTCCTCCTCCTCCTCCCTCCTCCCCCTCCCCCCTCCCTCCCTCCTCCCCCCTCCTCCTCTAAGTTGGCATGCCAGACATGTTTCAATGGGAGAATATTCGTTTTCGGCGGAAAGGTCATCAGCAAGTCAACATGCCTGCTATGACGAACGAGCAGAGCAAGAACAACATGCTGAGCTCTGTCGTCAGTTTCGATCCCAAGAACGACGTCTGGCAGGCAATGAGAGGAAGTCAGCAGGGGAGCATGACGGCGATGTAGGAGGAGGTCCCGATGACGTCACCAAGATGCTCTTTCACAGGAAGCTGCGAGGAGGAGGGAAGGCAAGACTGACTCGTCCACCTCAGCCACTGTCCTCGGTGAGAGAATCTTCGTCGTCGGAGGACTCCGACTGGACACGCGAGAAGGGCAGCCAAACGTCGCCGCTCCTACTGATACTGTGGAGAGTTACTGTCCCAAAGATGGGAAGTGGAGAGTAGAGCCGCCGCTCCGAAGAGCAAGGTACATCAGCCTCTCTTTGGATCTCCCACACTCACTTCACTTCCCTGCCCTCGTCTCCCTGTGCTGGCGTCCAGGAGCGGACATGCTGCTGTTGTTCGCAATGGCATCTTGTACATTGTCGGTGGAACCTGCGATAATGAGATTGCCACGGGGTATATCAACGTGCTCTCAAGCTGCTCCTGCTGACGTTCACACCAGTTCAGTCGAAACTTTCAGTGAAGAAAACCAAGGCTGGTCCATAGAGAGCTCGCTCCTCCTACCGCGGAAAGATTGCTCGGCCCATCTCCTGATGGCAGCCAAAGCATAAGACAACCTCGACCAACTTACACGCTTGTCATGTTCAAGTCTTTAAGAAACGATAAAGGAAAAAGAAAGAAAAAAGGATCGTCCCCTCCGCTAGGAGGCTCATCGACTTCTGCTTCACTTCTTCTGTGTCTTGGCTGAGTTCATCATCCCTCCAACGAGTTCACCCAGCCCGCCCTGACATCATCAAGTCAACGGCTTGAAACGCACATGCACGTCTCTCGCACCAGACTGTCACTCGACACCTCGGGGGTCGGCATAGTCTCTCCGGGTCTGGGGCCTAGCTTGGGCCTGCGACATGTCAAACAAGATGCAAGAGAGACGAGCGCTCACCGTGACTGCATCGAATTTCCTCCTTGCAGCCCCATAGGAGAGACCGTTGCGAGGTTTCCCTGCGAAGGGAGCTGTCAAACATCTGCTACCTGAGCAAGCAACGCTCTACCATGCCCATACCCATGCCTTGGTTCATGCCCATGTTGCCTTGGACTCCTAAAAAATCCTTTAGGCAAGCACTCTCAGCTGATGCTTACCTTGATTCATCATTCCCATGCCGGAGTTCATCATGCTGGCTCCTGCATTGCCTCCCATGCCCATGCCCATATTGCCGCCACCCATGCCCATGCCCATGCCCATGCCCATCCCGCTATTCATTCCCATACCCATGCCATTGTTCATACCCATGCCCATCCCCATGCCCATCCCGCTATTCATACCCATGCCCATTCCTTGATTCATGCTCATGGCCTGATTCATTCCCATTCCTTGATTCATGCCCATGTTGCCGCCCATGTTGCTCATGCCCATTCCCATGCCCATGTTACCGCTCATGCCCATACCAGTATTCATTCCCATGTTAGAATTCATATTCATGTTAGCATTAGAGTAAGTCGCACTTGAACCCATACCCATGTTGTTCCCCATCATACCTGCAAAACCGAAGATTGTTAATGAGAAACAAAAGAGAAATGCAATTCAAACCAAAATTTGACGCCGCCGGCATGCTGTTTCCAAACAATCCACTAGCATCGTTCTGGTTTGAGGCGAATGGATTTTGGTTGTCTGAGAACGGATTCGCCCCGAAGTCATTGTTTCCACTCGGCATGTCAAGAAGGCTCTGAGCCGGTCCAGAACCGAATGGATCACTTGAATTGAGATGATTAACTTCAAAGGAAAAAGGAGACATCAAACACCTCGGGCTGAAGGATGTCATGGCGTTCTGTCCGAAGTTGCTCTGCATCGATGCAGCAGGCATTCTAACATAGCGATCACAAGGCTTCAACACAAGGACGAGAAATTTACCCGGAGGCCCCCATGTTTGTAGATTGTAAGGGAGGTGACATCTGAGGCGCACTTTCAGTACTGAGATCACAAAAATACGAGAGAAACAGAATTTCATGCCTGTGGAGCACTCGATGGACTTCCAAAAATGTCTTCGAGAACGTCCTTCTTGGTTCCCTACTATGATGTCAAACACCTTTTGGATCTCCACATTCACACTTACTCCGTTGTCAACATTCAGGTTTCCCACTTCTCCGATAAGATCTTCAAGCTGGATAATCTTGGAACAAAGTCAACTCTACCCTACTTGGTGCGCAACATGGAGGAAAATTCCATACTGGAGCATTCGTCACGTCCTATAAAAATACAAGTAAGATGCCAAGCTTTCGGGGACAGGTCCAACTACCTCCAAGACAGCCCTGTCTTTTTGCGAAGGCGTGAAGTCGTCGTTCTAGCGGGCACTTGTTAATGGAATAGCATCAATAAGTATTTCACAATACCTCCAAGTACTTCTCCAAAGACTCCAGGAATGATTCAGGAGGAACGCTGCATATTGCAAATTTAAACCGCCTCGTATACTCCACTCTCCAGCATGCTCACCTCAGCTCGACTTTTTCATGTCCAAGCAATTCTCGAGCATCATCGAAGACATTGCTGATCTAGTAGATCCAACTCAATCGACATGTTCAGTAGGGGAATTCGTCACAACCTTCTTGTTGTGGTCCAGAAACATCTTGTACAGAGTCAAAATTTTCTCCGCAATCGCCTGAAACACAAGTTACCATCTGCATTTTCAAAACGATGCGTCCGACACACCTTCGGTAACTCAAAGTAGTTGTCAAGAAGACGGAGAATAGCTTTGTTCAGGCTCTGATAGAGAACCCTCACATCCTACCCCAAGCAGTCATTCATGTGACAAATGTGCATCCTTTCAGTTCAATTACACACCTTGAACACAATCGAAAATGCTGCGATGGATGTAGGGTGGACTACGGAATTTTCACGGAACGAGCAGCTGCTAAGGTCTGAGATTCAAATCAATACACCCAAAGCTTAACCTATAGCCGGCATCCAGAAGAAGCATCATGGCTTCTACATCGATGATCAACTGCTCCGTGGAAAGCTGTAAAACACCACAGTCATGATCAGTTCAACACTATTATCGAATTGAATTACGCTGTCAATATGCTCTGAAGAGTCTGATGAGTGCTGTCAAGACAAAGACTGTCAGCAAGCTGTTACAAAATTGCATTCAGAATGACTTACACGCTCGTAGTCAAATCTGGTTTTCTTAAAAGCGTGGATCTTTTCTTCCAAGTACAAAGCATAGTGCCGAACCATTCTTACACGTCGAATAAGCACAACAGAAAGCATGGGATAGCAAGAAACCTTGAAGCTTGCATGCTCTCGTGGGTGGATTCATCCAAGAATCTTCTAACGTTGAACTGCGAGAAAGCGGATGAAAGGAAATGCTTGCAGCTTGATGTCTACTTTACCTCATTTCGCAGGGAGTAACAGGCCTTGTACATGTTGGCAGATCTGCAATCGATTTACACTTCCACGTGCATGGAGAGCCTTGTTGAACAAATACCTGGGAGAGTCCGAGAGAAGACGATGAAAGACCATCAAAGCTTTGAGTACAACCTACCAGAAATTCAGGGTTCTTGAAACCACCCAACTCAGAGGTCACCGTGGCATCTTTGTTATGCAATCTGCCGGCAAGCTTCCCAACGAAAACTTAAACACTGGAGGGAAAAGCACACAAATCGACTTCACCTCCTGAAGCAATTCCGGGGAATTGTTATATTGGCACTCCTGTATCAGAGTCTACAGCACAACGATTCAGACCGGTCACAAAACCGGGATCCAATGGGAACCTGGACATGTTTTTCTTTTGGAGGACCATGCTCGAAACTTGTTGCTTTGAGAATAGCCTTTCATAGAAACAACAGTCAAACATTCTTCTAGATCAGTGTGCACGAAGTGGAGAGGATAGCGGCACCCCAGTCGTACCTTCTTCACGCCATCAAAGGTGAGAGCGCTTGTGGTTTTATCCATAAAGCTTCGGAAGGTATCATCACTGTTCAAGTGTTTTCAACATCAATTTAGGCACACCGAAAGAATCAGACTGAACCTAGTTAACGACTTGCTGACTTTCTTGAATTCTTTGTTCACTTTGTGAAGAGCCCCAGAGACTGTCTTGGTTCCAGTGTAGTGATGATCCATGTTTGGCACCAACTACAAGAAGCTTTCATTAAACTCAAAAAGCAAGATGAATCTATTTTGCATATCTCAGAGTCCAATCTGCTCCATATGCTTCACCGAGACGATCTCGACATGTTGAAATTACTTTTGGTGAAAGTTCGCCGCTTTCAAATACATTGAAATCGATCGTTTTGCTCTATCATTCTCAACCAACTTTTTGCCAACGACATCAATTAACAAAAACTTCTCTCTAATAAATTCTATTCCTCTATCTCCTTCCCTCCGATCATACGCCTTCTCGTTTCCCCAACCAGAATATCTCGGATTTGGCAATAAATTTCTCCTGCGGTTGTAATTCATCGACCCCTTTCTGGACTCATTACACTCCACCTCTAGCACATCATGATGTTCGTACTATTCACTTGCATGATCGCATTCTCCTCTTGGCTTCCTCCATGTCTTCATCCCTGATGCTGTCCTTGCTTGCTCTCCCTCCCAACCCTCCCTGATTTCTCACTCATATTACAGTCTTCATGGGCGCTCTGCAACGGTGCCATGTACTCTACGTGTCTGATCTGGATCTGCTTGCTTCTTGCCTCATCCATTTCTTCATCGACTCTGCGCATCGCCTGCTCCCGCTCTCCTCTCCGCGGCTGCTCATGGCGGGGTTTGTGGCGGGGGAGCAAGAGGACCGGTACCTTTGCGTCCGAGAAAGAAACTGGGGGTCACTACCCCTACCACCTCAGTCCTCAAACTTTTTACTTGAGGGGTGTAGCGATGTTAAACTTCTAGTAGACATGGTGGGGTGGACTTCGTGAGACAGGACCAGTGGGGCGGATGGGGTGCTTTAGAAGGTAGGTATAGGGGTAGTGACTTATAGGGTAGGGGTAGGAGGTGTAGCGATTATGGACTTCACAGCACCCCATCAATTCACTACGGCAAGGGTATGACAGCTAGGGGTGGTTGGTGTTTGAAGGAGGGGTGGGTACCGTCTATGATGACATGGGTCAGCGCCGCATCGCCGGGACACTGAGTGGTACGATGCCCGGCCAGCCCCGGGCCGGGCTCCCCGGGCCGGGGGGTCGGGCCCGGCCGCCGCCCGGCGGGCCGCCCGGGTTCATCGGATCCGATTGAACTTAGCCGCTCGGAGCAGTGAGTGGTTCGCTCACAGGGCCCGGGCCGCACGGTTTTTTCTCTTCAACCGGGCGCCGGGCTCTCAGTGCCGGGCCAAATCGCCTGCCACGGTGCGGCGCGGGCGCGGCGAAGTTCTTTACTCAAAGATACTAGTACTAACTAACTTAGCGGCATACCGTAGTCACGGTACCGTGCTGCGGGGCTACCGCATCATTGAATCACGGTGGAAGCCGGCCCGGCCTGACCGACGGTGGCCCGGGCCCGGGCCCGAGCAAGTTCGAGTCGCCGAACTCCTTGAAGGGGTCAGGCCTAGTCAACCATTGGAGGTGTAAACTTCACGGTCATTTTTTGTCACGGGCCGGGTGGCAGGGGGTTATTGAGGGGTACTCTACCAGGGGTCACATCGACCCTAAGTTGACGATAAGAAATCTGGTGGGGTACTAGACCCGGAGGCTTGTGGGGGTGGGGTACTCCTTGCGCCTGGTGAGCAAAGGCGTGACGTGAGGGACTTGTAACACAAACACTCGTGCTCCTTCCCAACACCTTCCTTCTCCCTCTCCTTCCCAACACCTTCCTTCTCCCTCTCTGTCTTCCCGACACCTTCCTTCCCCTTCTCTGTCTTCCCGACACCTTCCTTCTCCCTCTCTGTCTTCCCGGAACCTTCCTTCTCCTTCTCCTTCCCGACACCTTCCTTCTCCTTCTCCTTCCCGACACCATCCTTCTCCTTCTCCTTCCCGACACCTTCCTTCTCCCTCTCCTTCCCGACACCATCCTTCTCCTTCTCCTTCCCAACACCTTCCTTCTCCCTCTCCTTCCCAACACCTTCCTTCTCCTTCTCCTTCCCGACACCTTCCTTCTCCCTCTCCTTCCCGACACCTTTCTTCTCCCTCTCCTTCCCGACACCTTTCTTCTCCTCTCCTTCGACTTCTCTCGCTGTCTACATGCACAGCGTGTCAAGATACAGCGCCTTGAGGCGTTTCAGAGGATAAGACAACAATGTGCAAGGGTGCTTCACACTCGGTTTTGTCTAGTCTGCTCGGAATCTTGCTGACGCATTTCACGTGTGCTGCAAGTCAGAGCTATCCCTGTGGCGGATGCTTGTTCTTGGTATCAGACAGAGGGGAGTTGACCAAGACCGGGAGCTGCGCGACCAACTGTAGCTCTCTCGATTTGAGATTCCGAGGGATTCGAAGTATCTCACCAGCGGTATTCCAAGATACAATTAGCTTGCGACAGCTGTCTCTCGCATACAACTACCTCACAAGTTTTCAAGGGGGAGAATTTCACAGTCTCATCAACTTGCAAACAATGGATCTCCGAGGAAACCAGATTGCGAGCCTCCCGGCGACCATCTTTACAGGCCTCTCAAGTTTGCTGTATCTTCACCTCGACGAGAATGAGTTGACCAGCATCCCCGAGACGATCTTCCGAGGCCTCTCGAGCCTGTGGTATCTAGGCCTATCAGACAATCAGCTTGAGCGTCTTCCGGACAATTCCTTCAGCAACCTTTCAAGCGTAGGTTTTGTTTGTCTTGAACACAATCTCATGGCCGAATTATCTCCAGGCACATTCAAAGGTCTCGAGGGCCTTTACTTTTTGTTTCTTGAGAACAATCAACTTGTCAATATCTCGTCAAGCGTCTTCGATGATCTTTCTAGGTTGGAATGGCTGACGCTGCACAACAATCGTTTGTCATCTCTTGCTGCAGGAGCCTTCCATGGCCTGACTTACTTATTTCGTCTCAGCATCTGCAGCAATCAGCTGACAAGCATCTCCTCTGGAGCTTTCCAAGGGCTGCAGACCCTACAGACGTTGGACCTCTATGACAACCACTTGTCTACCCTTCCTTCGGGAGCATTTCAAGGGCTTTTCATGATGGACTCGTTGGACCTCTCCAACAACAAGTTCTCAGTGCTGCCGGTTGATTGTTTTGCTGATCTATCTGCCTTGTCCTCCCTGTCGTTGGACAACAATTTCATCACAACCCTTCCAGTCCATGGCTTTCAATCGCTCACACACCTCAAGTTCTTGTCCCTCAGCAACAACCTGCTCATTGAGGTCTCTGCGGGAGCCTTCCAGGGCCTCGTCAGCATTCAGATCCTTCTGCTCGAGCACAACCTGCTGACAAGCGTGCAGATCGAGACCTTGAACATGACGAGCTTGGTTGGCCTTGGAACGGACTCGGAGGTTCTCAGGCCTCTCTGCCACCAGAACCTCGAGAGGCTTCAGGCACTGAAAGCGCTCTACCTGTACAAGTCTGTCGGGGATGACGATACAACGTTGACCGGATGCGTCCTGACCGAGCTGACGCAGTTGACCAACTTGTATCTGTACAACTTTGACCAACTCTCAGTACATCCAGGCATGTTCAGCAGGCTCTCGTCCTTGCAGGTCCTGTGGATCGCGCACAATCAGCTTCAAGATCTGCCAGCAGGAACTTTTGACGGGCTTTCAAACTTGGAGGAGTTGTATCTCATTGACAACCGGCTGACCGAGGTGCCAGCCACGTCAATCAGCAACTTGTCACAGCTGATCGAGCTCTACATCATCAACGACCGCATCACAAGCGTCCCAGCAGGAGCCTTCCTTCACATGGCACACTTGAACATGCTGGACTTGTCAGGCAACCAGATCGCAAACATCGCAACAGGAGCGTTCTATGGTCTATCAAACTTGAACGAACTGGATCTTTCAAACAACAGGATTGTCAACCTTCAAGACGGAAGTTTCAACGGCGTCTCAATGTTCCTTGAATTTCTTGACCTCTACGACAACCCTGTAGCGTCAATCTCATCGCAACTAGGAATTTCTCCTTACACGACCATCTTGCTTCGAGGTCACTCGTTGCCTTGCTACAATGCAACCTGGAGTTTCGAGGTGGGCGAGGTGCTTGCAGGGTTCACAGACCAGCGATTTGCGCATGGAAACGTTGTGGGACATTTCTTGCTGTATGGTTATGTAGATGAGACGCTGCCGGAGTGTTCGAACGAGCTGAGGAATCTAACAAATGCAATGATAGACGAACAGATGTCAACTGAACATACTTCACTACAACCTTCCACCACTCCTCTCTCCACGTCTACAACATCAACTATTTCTACAAAACCTCCCACAAGTTCGACAACGGTTGAAGCATCAGCTGCAACGTCTACTATTTCTGCACGATCAACTTCGACTATAACCAGGGTTATCACAACTACTCAGACTCCTTCACTTGTTGCCCATGTAACGACTGTTGCGTCGCCAACAACCAGCAATCTGCCGTATGGCTCTCAGACGGGATCTGTTGTCTCGACCGCGTCAAAGGTCATGACACCTGTCTCAGTCCCTGCAGCTCATACGGCTGTATCGTCAAGGGTCATCACAACTCCTCCTCCTCCTCCTCCTCAGACCCAACGGCCCGTTGCTGCTACAACAACTCCACTACCAACCAGGGCGAGTAACTCGTCGTTGACTCCCGAGACAGTTTCTGTTGTCACAAAGGTGATCACAACCTCTACTGTCATGGCAACCACGTCGATCGTGACAAGTGCCATGGTGTCGACTGCCCTTCCTGCCCTGTCGTCAGTAAGCGGGGCAACAGCATCAGCGTCTGTGTCAGCATCAACATCAGCAACCACCTCGGCGACTTCTTCTGCGTCGACTGGTCGAAGCGCCTCCCTCGCCCTCTCTCTGATCCTGCAGACTCAGTTCATAGCGATGAGCGATCTTATCGCAGGAGGAGCTCGGACTGAGGAGATCACGTCGCTGGCAGGGGGCCTGCGCTGGTCCAACTACTACTTCTTCTCCTTCTTCCCTGACGTCAAGGAGGAGGGCAGCTGCGGCAACGCTATGAGGTCTGACAACGAGCTGCTGTCTACCTTCGTTGCTTGCCTCCTGTCCTTGCTGTTCTCAGCTCTTTTCCGCGTCCACCTGAGCTACTTGTACGTGCTCTGGAAGAGAATCAGGTCAGACGAAGAGGTCCTGACCACTCCCTTCCTCTCCTGGGAGCTGCCAGTTGCCATCACTCAGATTCAAGGGCTGTCACTTGCGGCTGCTCTGGCGATGACTAGCGGATGTACCGTCTACGTTGTGTTTGGATATGTCGCCCTGCTGGCAGTGCTGGCAGAGTTCACCTTCATGACCTACTTCACGTGCGGGTATGATTCGAAGATCCTGTGGAAAGAGAGAACCCAGAAGCAAGCCTTGAGTGAAGCGAAGACTGCGGTGAAGCAAGCGTCAGCGACTTCTCTGTTCGCTGCTGCTGCTTCTATGAGCACCTTGTTTGCGCGAGGCGAGTGGACTGTCGACGAGGCGGCGGAGCGGCACTTGGAGTCATGGCTGTACATGAAGCGATTCGGGGTGTTGTTGGAAGAAGTCTGCAAGCATGCCTGGTGGTATGGCTTGTACTCCGTTGGCATGCGGATCGTGTACTCGTTGGCTACTTCTTTGCTTGCCTTCACCGACATTCTGAGGACCCTGAGCATGTCAGTCTTCATGGCCGTCGATCTCATCTTGCTCCTCCTCTTCTCCCCTCAGATCGACCGGCTGGCATGGCTGTCGCACATCGCTGCAGCGACAGGCAACATGGGGATCTGCCTCTCATTCCTGCTCTCGTCGTTTGGGAGGATTGAAACAGCAGGTCTCAACAACTTGTACGTCACCTTCCTCATCGTCTCGATCGCCCCCATGATCCTCGTCAGCCTCGTTGGAGATGCCACAAAGCTCTTCGGGGCCATTTCAACCATGTCGAGGAAGCGAAAGCAGGGGATGCGAGTGGCGCACGCCGGTGAAGACGCCAAGGTAGAGGCGGCGACGATGGAGGAGGCGCGTAGGAAGTCGTCGCATACTTTGCACGTGATCATCACCGAAGACAGAACCTCCTAGCAAGTCTCTTCTAACATAATGTGAATATGAAGTATGAACCTCAATGTTAATCAGATTAAATTAATCTTGTCTTGTTGGAATGCTGCAATGAGCCCGCGGACCTCTTCATGACAACTATGAATCGACACGGCACGACTGATTGCTCCCTCCGAGTTCCAACCTCCTGCTCCTGCTCCTGCTCCTGCTCCTGCTCCTGCTCCTGCTCCTGCTCCTGCTCCTGCTCCTGCTCCTGCTCCTGCTCCTGCTCCTGCTCCTGCTCCTGCTCCTGCTCCTGCTCCTGCTCCTGCTCCTGCTCTGACTTGAACCAAGTCACTGAAGTTTCTTTCCTACAAAATCGACCCGGTGAGTGTGTCCGACGGTCGGGGAGACTCAAATGTTTTTTATCCTTTACAGCGAAAAACTTCGAGGTTTTACAAGATTTTTTTATTGTTTGCAGAGTTTTACTCCCTTGGCGGGAAAAAAATGCAGCAAAATGAGAGACGGAGAGGAGAGGAGAGGAGAGGAGAGGAGGACAGAGGAGGACAGAGGAGGCGAGGAAACGATTGATCAAAGGAGGAGAGAGGGGGAGACCAGAACAAGAAAGGATAACAAGGGGAGAGGAAACAAACAGAGGAATGGGACAGGGGAGAGAGGAGATAGAGACTGACATATATTGCTTCAGGATCCTGCAAGAATGAGTTTCATCGTTACATCTCCCCTCTGATCCCCAAAAGAGCCATACAAATATGCCTATCGACTTTCATGCGGAGGTTGAGCTTTCAAACCGAGTGTTCTTTGAGCAGTTGAAACACGTGACAGGCCGAGGGAGCAGAAGCTCGAGTCTTGTACAACCTCTTCCGCTCTCTTGTGAAAATCGGCAATGAGATTGAGATGGACATGACGCGAGGAAAGGTGTGCCTGCCTGCCTGCCTGCCTGCCTGCCTGCCTGCCTGCCTGCCTGCCTGCCTGCCTGCCTGCCTGCCTGCCTGCCTGCCTGCCTGCCTGCCTGCCTGCCTGCCTGCCTGCCTGCCTGCCTGCCTGCCTGCCTGCCTGCCTGCCTGCCTGCCTGCCTTCGTGTCTGCCTGCGTGTCTGCCTGTTTTGTCGTTGACATTGTTATGAACTGTGATCCCACTCTGATGATTCGTTTGCAGTTGTATTTCAAGACATTCAACGATTCAAAGACTATTTTTTGTAACACATACTTTGACGCATCATTCTTCAAACAATTTGAAGCAACTGACGACATTGAGGTTTGTTGCATACCTCTGAAGGTAGTGGACATCTCGCAAGTTGGATGGCTACCTGACGTTGGCATGTTCTCCCTATCAGACAGCAATCGCCATTTTCAGAGGACATATCTCAATAGAAAACTTCAGAATAGACTTAGACTGCTCCAAGTCAGAACTCATCTTCAACTTTCGTTGCCGGAACGGTATTTCATCTTAAACTAGTTTCCATTCTTGTTGGCTGAAAGTTTGTTTCTTTCAGGAGTACGCAAGAAGTTTCAAGTCTTTTACTCCACTGCTGAACGGACGAAGGTTGAACTCTGGTAAAGAATAATGCAAGTCAGATTCCTTACAACCAAGACAGGTTTGCTACAGCAAGCAAGACTGTCCGAACTCTATCGAGTTTGAAGCGAGATCGTTTTATAATGTCTTGTCAAGGTCATCATTCAACTGTCGTTCGAGTATTGATTGCTCTTGCTTTCAGCTTTCACAGCAATGTAGAAGAAATTTCATTCATAACCTCATCTGAGGATATACACCTGAAGAGTTCGTATGATCGACCAGAAAATGGTATGAGAAATCGGGCTTGGAATACCCCTCATAGTAAATGATGAAGGCGACTCGAGCATGTTTGAGAAGGAGATGCGAACACAGACTTCGATATCCGCAAAGGATCTCGTGAGTTTCCGAGTACAACGAGACATCAAAGTTTGCTTTGCAGTGAGGGAGCTGAAGGTGATTGTTCGGGCATACAAGAGGGTGCATGACTCAAGGCAGGATATCGTTGCTTTCTGTAACAAAACTTGCCTTAATATGGCTCTCAAGTACCAGAATGATGCCCGGTAAGACTGATGGGAGTAAAGGTCATGATTGGCTCCTAACTGGCTTGCAGTTGTTTGATCTTTACAGCCGACAAAGAAGATTTGTCGATGACCATTGACTTTGTGATCGCTGCGTCCGACCTAGAAGAAGACTTGGATGCGACCACGGACAGCTCGTCACGAGGTTTTCATACCAGAGTTTGCTGGTCGTGACAACCTCGCAGGAGCATCGCAAGTAGCTCCTTTGGCTCATTCGAGCAGGAGCAACTTCGCAAACATTCAACATCAACGCGAGCCGCTGCTGACAAACGACTCGATCGTGTCTGCTGCCACTTCAGAATCAGTCTTGAGGTGTTTCCAGCTGTTTGCCAGCTCACTAGAGCTGAAAATGTTGCTGCAGTCATCGCGATCCTGAGGACGACGAAACAGTCAGTAGTCATCATGACCCAGAGCGGATGGGAGTTGTTGGCGGCTCTGTTACGAATGGCACAGGAAGAGCAGCAAACCTTGTGAGGTTTTCACATCTTCCTGACTTGAGTGCAGGCGTTGGGCGTGGAACCTTGAAGGATTCTTCTGAAAATGTCGGAGCGAAGTAAGCTCGTAATGGTGCTATTTCTCATGATTGAGATGTACAACAGGAGGAAGGATAGGGACGAAAGCGCTACGGACTATTCGAGCGAAGACGAGGTCATTCCAGCTACCCCATCGCCATAAAAGTTGAGCAGACGCTGACAACTTGTGATCTTTGAATGTATGTAAACTAAGTGATAAGACTGAGAGTTGATGAGTGAGTTTGTTTTCTGCGACATTGATTTCGATCTGCATCTACATAAATCTTTGGAGGATCCTGCAGATCAACGGGAAGTCTTGCGAAAATACAAGGCTTTCCACGCTGAACGTACAAGGTTGCATAGGTCTGCAACATCCTTCTAGGCTCATAGTTGCTAAAATTGTGAGACACCGAATCTTTTTACAAGGTTGTACATCTGCAAACTCGTCAACCGCTACTACACGATTCTTTTCTGAAAACTGTACCTGCAATGTGGACATGAAGAGTCAAGGAATCATGAGAGGTGAAAGCTGCCGTTCGCCTCTTGAAACGCTACACAAAGACGTTCTTTCATGATGCTGTAGCTCGCAGTCAGTGAAGCACAAAGAGAGAAAGTCGCTTGCCTGGGCGAACTGTACTCGGGCAGTTTGAGATAGTTGGCACATGTCATGACCTGTGGGACCATCATACACGAACAGAGGAAGAAGAGTCGCGCGGATGGAGGGACCGAGGGAGGGAGCGGATGGAGGGAGCGGAAGTCATACCGATGGGAGCTGCTGGTCCAACATATTCTGCGCAGCATCTTGTGGAAGTTCTTTCTTGACGACGGTTAGCGGAGGCTTCAAGGCAGCGAATCCTGCGAGTCTAGTCATGGAGTGACAGACAGAGCTGGACGCGTCACCTCCAACTGGCAGGCGGGGGCAGCCAGTGCAGAAGCTGAGGAACTTTCTCTTGGATTCAAGGGGGAGTTCAGCCAGAACTTCAACGAGTTGCCGCGCTGCCGGGCTTGTCGTCTTGTATCTGCACGTGAGATTTTCAGCGCTGTTTCCTTGGCCTCGACATGACTTTACCCATGTTCAAACTTGAAGACGTGCAGCAAGGTATCCGGGTTCCAGTCCAGCAAGCCCTGGTGGTGGAAGTCAACCCGCGCGCGTGGGAGAGGACGAAGAGAATCACATTGTCGCTCGCAAACACCTCCCTGAGCTCATCGACGCAGAAAACTTGGAGGAATTCAACCTTGAAGACACGACTAGCCAGCAGTTCAGCTTCGCAGTCCAAGATGTCTGTCCTCGTACCTGAAGCCCTTCCGGAAGCTGTCGAAGAGAGGCTGAACCCCATCAACTAGGATGATCTGCCGCTCAAGGTGAGATTGCAATGGCCTCGGGTCTCCAACATACTTGAGGCAGCAGCCGCACGTACTCCTCCACATTTTCAAGACTAACAACTTCGTTCTCCCCGTTGGTCCTGAGACTTGGTCAGCGTTGATTTTACTTCCTGGGAGATCAATCACTTCAAAGGCATGTCATAGCCTGGGACGGTGAAGACGATCGAGAGATCCTCGAGGGCTGCACCATCTACAGTGAGAGCCTTGATTCTTGCAGCCTGTAATTACAAGTCGATGTCAGTTGCGACAAACAACCAGAGAGCCTTCGCATTCACCTTATCCTCAGCTGTTAATGAATTGTCGCTTTCGATCCTCTTTTTCTCGTCGGCAATCGCCTTGAAGCGCTTCCAGTTCTCATAGATCTGCTAGCTGTCAGGACAGGCATTTCTTCCTTAATGTTCACGTCACCTCAGGAGCGAGGAGTTTCAAGTCGCCTTCCTCCAACGGGTGCCCAAGAAGAACTCGGCTGAAGGGACCAGAGATCGGGAGATCCAGTAGCCGCCCATCATGAATCGCCTTTGCGCAAATCCATCCAATGACCTTGAGTGAATTGTCAAAGATCGGTCATGCCAACAGCACCAGATTGCAACAAAGGCAAGTAAACTCGATTTACCTCGAATGCCTCCAACTTCTTTGTGCGGTCAGCCTCGGACGCCAGAGGGTTCAGAGGTGCAGGAAAGAGACCGTTGGCCGGACAGAAGTGAGTCGCGTCAGAGTTCGTCGAGTCCCACCACAAGCCGAGCGATCTCAGTTGCACCTCCCTGAAAGCGCACAGTCAAACGTGACCATCATCATCGGTTCGATAGGCTCACCGGCAAAAATAAGTGAAAAATTCTTGTGTCGGGCCCTTTCCAGTCCCAACTTCTCCAGAGAACTCGATCTCCAAGGAAGACCCTTGAGGAATGTTGTGTTGGTTGAAAACCTCCATGACTCTCTTGGCGGATTCCAAGATGTGCTTGCGGCCAACTCTCACCTGAGCCAAACATCAAACGTCAAATGGCAGGAAGGTACAGCAGCTGGATAAAGCAGCTTGTCTAGATCAGAAATCCAGAAAAGACATTGACATCACCTTCTGACGTGGACGAGATTGTCCAGGATGCCGCTCTCTACCGTCGTGTCGAGACAAGCTTCGAAGAACTGATAGAACACCGAAAGCCTCGTGGTCGAAGTACGTTTGCCGCACGTCATGCCCAAGGAGGAATGGATAATCCACCAGCAGCACTTTGATCCATTGAGGAACTTTGTGGATATAGGGGAGCAGGGGATCTCGTACCATCAGCGATGCCTTGAACGACAAGTTACCCACAATCATCTCGTTCGGCTTCACTCGCCGCCTGGCAGACAGAGTCACATCACAACGGCACGAGAAACAATCTTCCTCACGGGTCAGTCAGTGGGAGGTCCGAGTTAATGGTGAAGAGCATAGTGATCAAGCGCAGCATCGCCTTGGTTGTCTCCGGGATCCCCTTATCATCTGAGAAGCGATTCGCACTAATAGAGGTATCCAGAAGCGACCAAGCCCTCGACTGCTCGAGTCAAATATGAGAAAGGAACAATTATGACAACAAGTCCTCACCGTGACCAGTGTGCTTTGTTGGGTGACGTCCAGGCCTAATATTCCTGAATTTGGCTGCTTCATTGACTTCCATCTCGACCTCTCGTTGCCTTGTAGCGCATATTCGATAACATGTATCCGGTTCCAGAGTGAAATCTGCACTTCCTGCAAAGAAGTCTGGGACTTGGAAGTGCTCAATGACTGCAAAACTGCCTCAAGAATTGACATGTCATGGTTTGCCAGCTCGATTCCACCAACGGCCAGGCGCAAGAATGGTCCGCTTGTAGCTCCCCCTGGCCTGTTGTTTACATTCAATCTCGATGCTGCTTCCAAGTCAGCTGCTGCTGGTGGTTCTGAAGAATGACTGGCTGGTGGCTCCCTGCTTGATACGGATTCCGTCTGTCGCTGACTGTTGGTACGACCTGACCTGGACGACCGCGAGGCAGACTGGGATTCCCTCGATTGATCAACCGCAGCACTGGATTGATTTGGCTGTGGGTTGGATGAGTTGGAGACGTGGATGTCTAGAACTTCCATCTGGTTCTCTTCCACAGGATCTTCCATGCTGTCATCAAGTAGGATATCCTCCTCCATCTCTCCCTCGAACACATCTTCATCATCCATGCCCTCTTCACCGAATAAGGTCGCCCTCACCACGTTCTCTAGCTCCATCTCATCTCCTTCAGCGTCACCTTCTCCTTCTCCATCACTCATGGCATTCATCGAAGACTCTAGGCCAAGGTCAGTTGAATTCGAACCTGCGAAGTAACTCTGTAGATATTGCAATGATTCATCTCCACGTGAAGTACTCGCAGTCTCTCTTGAAGCTCGAGAGCTGTTACTCTCCCTCGCCCTCGGGGCAGGATTCGAGCTTTTTGCCACGTCTCGCCTCGTTCGGCTTGCTCTGGTAGCAGACGCACTCGCTGATTCAGAAGCCTGAGCCGATTGTCTCGAAACTGCTTCAGATTGACTCTCATCATCTAAGCTTCTCCTGGTGCTTGCAGAAGCGCGAACAGTCTCACCGGCATCCAAGCCAAGAAATCTACTTGACACAAGCATACCATCGCTGTTTCTTGATCGAACTTTTGGCCACAGGAAGTCATGGATGGCAGATACACTTGCAGAAGGGTCAATTACAACCGGATTGGCATAATCCTTGAGAGAAGATGCGCCCCTCGCGCTCCTCTGGAACTTCAATCTAAGCGCCTGCATCATCATCCTTGGCTGCCTCACTCCAGATGCTTCTGATTCTGAAGAAATGACTGCAGGGTCTAGCCAAAACCCATCTGTGTTATTCAATGCAGCGACAAGTTTGTGTATCAACACTTTCGCGGGGCAGGTAACATGACCATCAGTTCCAGATTTCGTGTTCATCACTATGGAGAAAAACTTCTGCCGCCTTGCTTCCAAGATCTCCTTGCTTGGGTTTATGCTTTTCTCCTTCTTTGGTTCACCACGAGGAGCATTTCTTGATCGTGATCGTGATCTATCTGATTCGGCGCTAGATCTTGCTCTTTCTGATTGTTCATTACCATCGCCTCCCTTGGACGTGAGATAATTGAGGATAGTTTCGCATATCCCAGAGCAGCGCATTTCGAATGTGGAGACCGTTGCACTATCATCGAAGTGACTCAGGATCTGCTCCAGGTATTGATAGGCACTCTGCTCATCTTCTTTTCCTGCTGCTTCCAACAAAGAAGATCCCAGTTCTTTCAACTTACTGACCAGCGGAGTTAAGCCTCCACAAGCATCCTCTTTATCATCGGTCTTTGGGAAATATTTCGTGCATACAAAAGTCAGCATCGGACCATATTTTGCTTCATTCTTGCTATCCCTGGGACAAGGAGCTCTGGAGATCCCCGGAATGTTTGTCCTCTCTAAAATGGGATTTCCAGGCGATGAACTGATCTTATCATCCTTCGAAGAACCGAGCGAATTGTTCTTAGAGCGATTCTCCTTCATAAGTTTGTGCACTGTAAAAACAATGCCTTCTCTGCACAACAAAGGCATATACACATCCTGACACTTCGAAATCAAGTTATGTATCAAGACAAGCGCAAAGAATCGCATTCCATTTGACTCAGAAGCCAGCAACATCGAGATAAGTTCGCAAATATTGTCTTGAGGCACTAGTTCCCTGATCTTTTCTTCTGGCATGTAATAGCAGAGTGTTGACAGAGCTGCAAGAGAATCGTATCGCAGCTGGCTGTCAATGGAAACGGAAGCTGAGGACAAGACGGCTTCCAACATCTGTTCACCAAAGCTTTGCATCACTTGACTGTTGGTGGCCCAGTGACTTTCATCCGCTGTTGCTTTAGTCGCATTTGAAGATGTGGGGGAGCCCTTCTTCTTGGTCCCTCCTTTTGAACCTGCTTTTGATTCACGTACGCTCTCTTTCGGTGGAAGAGGAGGAAGGTTCGGAAGCAAGGACGTGGTCAGCGCCATGATGGCCCTCAGGAGCTCTGGTGCGATTTTGATAGAGATTTCAACTCTGCTTCTCCTGCGTTCAGTTCCTGTCGAGGATTCGCCATTACGATCCGTCAGGATTTTACTCTTCAAGATCTGCAGGCAAGAAATTAGTTGAAGTGAAATCAAGCAGGAAAACTCATAGCAAGCAAGAACACCAACCTGTCCAACATTCTGCTGCTGCAGTAAGGACAAGCCCAACATCGGCGAAGCATTTCCCAAGATAGCAAGCATGTGCAACAATTGAACACACATTTCTTGTCCGAACGTTGCAACTCGGCCACTTTCAACCTCACTGACGCTGTTACCATCTGATAGATAACTATGGCCAACAGTCATGCAATAAATATCAAGACTTGGTCAACACACTACCTTGAAACCAATCGCCAAATATTGGGGATCAGCCCGTGTGCCGCTATCTGTTCGAGGGCAGACTGCTGTCCCTGTATATCAAAAAGCAAGAGTCAGAAACGAAGTCTATCTGAAGTTTAAGTTTCAGTTCCTGAAAGCAACTAACGAGCCTGCAAAATGCTGTGCACACTTGTTCAACGAGCTTTGCTGTACAAGATCATTCAGCAAACATTTCAAATCAGCAAGAGCAATTCACCATCAGAATGCAAGATCATCTGTGATAGATTGGGAATAGAATCCACGACCAAAGGTAAGGTATCCGAATTAACTCTTCGACACATGTTGGCAACTGTCGTCATCCCAGTTCGCTGAACAGTGATAGGGAAGAAATCTAGAAATGACAGAACCGCAGAAACACCCTCAGCTCGTAACAAATGCACTGCATGATCCTTTGATATCTTGTGTAAGGTGAGCAATGCCTGTTCAGCAACATCGATATATTCGATGGATTTGAGTTTGGAACATAGAGGAGGGATGCTCCCAAACTGTACAACCGCAGATGAAGACTGCGGGATGATTTCCATGATGTACTGAATAGCCCTGCATGCATGTAACATGATTTCGGGCGACAATTCACAGCCAATCAGCTTGATCAGTGAAGGAAGAAAGCTTTCAACGCTGAAGCCTTGCAGGGTGTCTTCTGTTGCCATACACAAAACTTCACACAACTGATTCAATGCATCCTCTTGTCTGGTGATGTCGCCATCAGCTTTCAGCCCATCCAGCAGAGTCCTACCGATATCTTCAGTAACAATTCTCCCAAAAATATGTGGCACAAACCGAAATCGAGGACTCAATCCTCTCATTAATCCAGCAGACATGGGTAAGTCAAAGCTTGCACCTACGAGATTGTGAGCAGCAGGAGACGTCATGGAAACAAACTGACCAATCCCTCCTAATAATCTGCGCAGATTATTCAGCGTGCAAGCATCTGATGATGAGCCAGTCACAGAAGATCCAAGAGAACCTGAGAAAAGATTGGTATGAAATTTGGCCAAACAAATCTTGAGCTAAATACCAAAAATGTTGCTCAACGAAGGCGGTCGACCAGACATAGTCGCAGTAGACAAAGTCACATCTGAGTTCTTCTCTGATTTTTTTGCTCTACTCTTGGTTTCAGATTTTGTCTCTGCATCTTTCCCAGCCTCTCTCTTGTTGGTGACCTCCCTGTTGTTTCTTGTCACTCTTGGGAGGCTGATCTCATCCTCAGCTGCAGGTGAGGAGTGCGATGCCGTTGAGGATCTTGTCCTCTTCCCTTCTGAACTCTCCTGGGTATCTTGCCGTCTTTCACGAAGAGAAGGAGTGGAGGTCAGTGTCACATCGCCCTCACTTTCCACTTTTCTTCGCCGAGTAGATCTCGGCACTTCAGGGGGGACATCCGTCTGCCTCTTTCGTGTAGGCCTACCTCGGAGATCTCTCGATCCCTCTTCCATTTCTCCTGCACAGGAGAGCTAACTTGCTCGTCCCAGACGGAGCTCCTGCGTAAAGGTCATATTCTGCTTTCTTGACGCACTAAGGAATTGTGTCAAAACTTTCGAGGCTAATCATGAAGTGCCACCAGTTCGCAATACACAAAGAGGGTCGTGTCATAAAGTTGAACATAGCAGGAACCAAAAAATTGACGATGACATCAATACAGACAAGAAAACTAAGAAAAACCAACACCCAGAGGAATTGTGAAGTGGGAAGGTAGGCGAAACATAATGTTCATTGGAAAAAGAGCTGCAGGAGGCAGAGGACACAAGAAGCAAGACAAGTGGTAGCCAGCCACTTCGGAGATCAACAAAGACGAGAGACAGGTTTGAAGATTCACTGGGCGAGCTGGGGTAGGGGGAGGAGGCGAAATATACCACGTCAACAAAGTGCAACGAGCAAAGAAATTGGGGCATCCAAGGGATAAGGAAGAAGGAGGAGGAGCACAAATGCATGAGATCCAAACAACAAGAAATATTTTCAGGAAGAGCTCAACATATCTGGCAGCAAAACTTGAATGAAGAAAACGCTGTTCGATAACAAAGTATCAAACATTCTTGGTAGGCTCAGCCAGGAACAAAGAGCTGGGTGCAGTATACATTGGGGAGATGTGTGGAAAGGGGGGGAAGATGATGGAGGATGGCGAATGAAGGAAAATGCACGAGGTAAAAACGCCCATGTCTCTCTGCGACAATCGCGGCACGAGCTGCTTGGCATGGCCGCACTAATTGCCGCATAGTGATTGTGGCTGGCAACACATTGGGGTGGGGGTAGGTACCCGTTCACCACAGGGTGAGGTGATATGGGATGATTGTGTGGGTAGGGGTGAATTCAAGATGGTAGGGGTAGTCACCGGTTCTACAAAGGTACTGTGTCTCGTTTAGAGGGAGAGATCTGCAACTACGGGGTAGTGTACAAAAGGTAGGGTGGGTAGGAAATATTTGAGGGTGGGGTAGTATTTTGCAGGGGTGGAGATCAACACAGTGTGGGAGAAGTTGGGGTAGGGTCGTTTGCAGGAATCGTGGGGTGTGAGAAAATGGGGGTAGGCAATAAATGAGGCTGAAAGGGGGTGATTTATACACAAAGAGGGGGTAGGGGTATACGATTGTTTGAGATTTTGAGGGTGGGGTAAGTACCAGAAATGGGAGAAAAGGAGGGGTGGGGATCAAGGGGTTGGAAGAGCACCCGGTACCTGCAGTTCATTTTAACCTCGAACTGGTGGGTGTTGAAGAAAGGGACAGAACTGCAGGGGTATGCGAGACATGCAGTAGTAGCTGGTACCGGTGGGTGGTTTATGGTTCCCATAAGGGGTGGAGTAGAATTCATCGAATGTCCTGGGGTGGGTGGGTCATCTCTCAGCAAAGGTTTAACAAAAGTACCCGGTGTGCTCCCTTTGCACGTTGGTTACAACAAGGGGGTACTAGTACCCCGGTTTCCTTCTGTGCCCTTCACAAGCTAAGAATTCAGACCCCGTCCCCATGATGGTCCATGGGGGTACTAGGGTGGTGATCTTAATGGGGGTAGGTGGTTTGTCCTCAGACGGTGACGCCTCATGTGACTGATTGTCGATCTAGAAAAGAGGGGGTGGGGTAGTGTGATACAAATTCATATGTAGATTGTCAAAGGTAAACAGTACCCTACCCCCTCTAGAACATGTACTCACGCAAAACCCAGGTCCCATAGGTAGTACCCGCCCCTGGAAAAGTCTCATCTACATCTCACGTGGGAAGGACCAGCCATAGCCTTGTGCAATTTTGCTTCTAGTTGAAGTAGGGAAGTTGATGACATTCATGATCACCAACACCCCAGATCACAAAGTACCCTACCCCTACGTTTCATAACCCTACCCTCTGTACTCCCCCTATCTGACATACTACCCCCTCTTTCCCTTATCTCATCAACATCATATTTCAGTGCTAAAGTTGAAATGCTTCCGGATTATTTTCAAAACGCTTCACGGGCCGGCCCGGGTCGGGGAACGTAAAACCTTGAGTCAGCTCAGTAAACTGAGAGTGGAGCTCATACCGCACCGTTTGCGCTGATATAACACAGCATGGCATCGACTTTGGATTGTCAGGTGCGGAGGCAGCGGGGAGGTCAAAGGAGGAGGAGCGAAGAGAGGATAGGATATCAGACACGAAAGCAAGATTGAAAAGAGGTTCGAGGGAGAGAGGTGGTTTTGGAGAAGAGAAGACGAAGGAGGGGAGCGAATCCTTGCTTCATTACAGCAATCTGTGAAACGTTAGCGAGGATCGGGTAGATTGTATTCAATGTTTCATATAGACCGGCAGCAATTACACTCCGATTAAAGTAGGATTTACAGACGCAAGGCAGGCAGGCAGGCAGGCAGGCAGGCAGGCAGGCAGGCAGGCAGGCAGGCAGGCAGAAATGGCAGGCAGGCAGGCAGAAATGGCAGAAATGGCAATAATTCGATTGGATCAGAGAAATTCATTTTTGTCCCTATCGCACATAACCTCTATCTTCACGCCACTTGATCCTCTTTGGAGGAGGAAGATAACGGGACTTATTTGCTTATTATTTCCATCTGACGGGCTTGCATGCAGGCATTGACTTGCGCCGCCTTTGTCAGCTCGCCATCTCTCAGCGGACCCTTGTCTCTGCATTCGTCTTCACGGCCATGCTTGGGATCTTTTGCGCGTCCCATGCAGACACAGAGCAATCAAGTATATGCACGCATTCGGCCCTTGAGAGAGCACCATGGTGAAGGTGCTTTGAGAGTGCCGAGGAGGGATGCGCTCTTGGGCCTCGTCCCAGCAACCCTCTGGTTCTTGTCTTCCTTTGCCTTTTCCAAGGCTGCGATTGCCAGGGAAGGGTTGGGAGATGACGAGTTTTCTATCGACTTCGGTCAGGGCCCTCTGGGTATGGACTTGATAGAAGTCCGATTCCCGCAGGGAGTCCCGCGCGAGAAGCAATCATCTCGTATCATCGTCGATGCTGTCAAGGCCGGAGGTCAGGCGGAGACGCTGGGGAAAGCGAAGAGACTTCGACCTCAGGTGTTGGTTGTGAGCATCAACGGCAAGAACATCGAAGGCATGAGGGCCAGTGATGCGCTGAAACTGCTGAGAGAGGAGAAGAAGAAGTCCGACGAGAACAACCAGGCGCTTCAGATCGTGTTTCGAGATCCCCTCATCTTCAAGGAGAAGCTCTTGAACATCAAGGAAGGAGGCGCCGTCTCTACACAGGTGCCTCAGAGTCTGCTCAGCTCTACCTCTGCTGGCTTCTCAACTTGTCCTCAGTGTCAGTGACACGAGACTTGCGTTCTATCAGGTTGGAGTCCAGAGCTCAGAAGAGTTGGTGGTGAAAACGCTCAAGATGCCTGAAGACTGTGGGGCTGTAAGAGCGCAGCAAGGAGACGTCTTGGAAGTGAAATACACGGTGAGATGATTGTTGTCTCCTTTCTGCTCTGCTCTGCTCTGCTCTGCTCTGCTCTGCTCTGCTCTGCTCTGCTCTGCTCTGCTCTGCTCTGCTCTGCTCGTCGCTACAGCTTCGTTGTCATGTAGTGCACGCAGGGCTATCTTGCGGACACGATGGAGGTCTTTGATGGAAGTAGCATCAACCAGAACGGAAATTTCTTCGGTGACCAGTCACTGTACTTCGTTCTGAACCAAGTATCTTCAAAGCTGTGCATGAGAGGTCTGCTGACACGTTGTCGACAGGGTCAGCGTCAAGCTCCTCGAGCATGGGAAGTGGGTCTGCTGGGCATGTGTATCGGTGAAGCATCTCGGTTCCTAGACAGAGAGTCTGACTTGAAGCAGGCGAGGAGAGGCGACTAGTCGTCCCTCCGTCCCTGGGGTATGGCAGGGAAGGAGTTCCTAAGGGGAAGATCGTACCGAAGCTTCCTGTCCCTCCCAATGCCAAACTGATCTACGATGTGAAGCTGGTGGGTATAAACGGGATCAATGTGAGAACAGACGACCCAACGTCTTTGGGCACGAGAGTTCCCTACGACTACAGGGACTGCAGGACCGTCAATGGCGTCTCGACCTGCGGGCCGGACGTTGAGGGGAGGAGGTTGTAATTAAAGCACTACATTCAAGGTTCAGACAGCTGCTGCTGCCTCGATCTTGACCTCGTCACACACTTTCATGTCGTGCTGAAAGCAGCGAACTCAGCTGGAGGCCTTTGAAGGCTGGGAAACTGCTCCGAGAGATTTCAGGTATCTGCCAGCCCTTGACCTCTGGCCAATCGAAAGAAGCGAAGATGGACTTGGTGTCAGGGATCTTGAACCTGGGGGAAGGATTAGTTGGACACACACGAAGATGATGCTCTTCTCTTCACCATCCCCCACAAGCTCGCTCGTGCTCTTTCGCAACTTCACCGGAGGGAACATCCCTGTTCTCAAGTCAGGAGAGGCCTGCAGGCAAGCACAAGAAGCAAGACCGTAGCTCAGGCAGCATATCGTTCCCAGGAGGAAAGGAAGGCTGTTGTGTTTTTGCATCAAGTCGTAAGGCTGTAAGAAAGTCTCAGAACAAATACTGGCAGCCGCGCACTGCAGACCTGCGCTCGATCCGCACTCCCCCCCGCTCTTCCTCCGGGGACAGTCATGTGTCGAAACCCTCAGGGTCAGCGGCCTTGTCGCTTCACCGTCAGACGTCCAGCACAGAGGTGATAGCAGAGAGAAGAGATACGATTGAGAGCAGAGACAGGGGACCTGTCAGGAGCTCTTGATCGCTGTCGAGATCTTCGCCCCTGAAACAAGTCGGTGTCGTCCGTCGACCACTCGTTCCACTTGGTCGGGGGAGATGACGGAGCTGAGGTCCTGCAGGTGAGAGGACGCCTCGAGCTGAGAGAGGAATTTCTTGCTCGAGTATCCTCCAACGGTGTGCGATCTCTGAGAGAATCCTGGCAGACATGCCCATCAGGTTGCCTCCACCTTCTTCTTTCTCTCACCTTGTTGCTGCCGCCCTTCCCCTTGCCGCAGTCATCGTGCTCGCGGAAGTAATATTGAGGGCGTTGCAAGCTCTGCAATGTGTCTCTTTCTAGGAGCGCTTTTGACTTTGACAAGAGGGAGGTTGCTTGTTCCCGCAAACCTGCAAGCTGCTCTGATGTAAGGTTGTGCAAGATGAATGAAGAGGTCGGCGATGAAAGTCAATTGATCACTTCCGTTCGATTTGTCGTCTATTTTCTCCTTTCATGTGTCACTCTCCCTCAACTCCTTGAGATTACACTTGAGACAGACATTCATGCAAGAATGATAACAACTGGCAATGGATGCCTGAATGCTGTCCCGTCCCAACTTTGAATTATGTTTTGAGAACAAACTAGCTGGAAAGCAAAACAGATGTGGAATCATACATCTTCTCGATATCTGCAGCACAACCTTCCGAGTTCTTCTTCCTCCTCCTCACTGTCTTGCTACCATCCCTCTTGTCTTCATCGCCTTCTGCCCTCTCACCTCAAGCGCGCTTGTACCCCGCTGAGCCATCATGGTCGGTACCGAACTTGAATAGTCGGCTATACCTGAATTTAAAGCCTGCCCTCTACTTTTGAATTTGAGTTGCTACCAGTTCGCTCCTCAAACTTGTGAAAGTTTCAGGCCGCCGCCTGGCCACTCCGGGGCGGCCCCGCCGCGGGCCCCGGCCCCCCGCGCCCCTCACAGAGTCAGCCCGGCGCGCGGCAAGTCAAGTTCAGGGGGCCCTTGAATCAGTCACATGATGATGACTTTGGACTAGTACAAGTCTAACAACTTGAACTAGTGCTCCGTCATCGGACAAGTTGACTGAGAGCCTCGGAGGGGACCCCTTTCACTGATCGGACTGCCGGGCGCGCCGTACTACCGGGTCACCGTGACTCCGTACCAGGACGGTGGGCTCGCCGCCGCGCCGCGGCGCCGGGCCGCTGGGCCGCCCCGCCGGGCGCCCGGGGGCCCCCCGCGACCGGGCCGGGCCGGGCCTCGCGACTCCCGGCTCAGTGGCATCACTGAGAGTCCGAGCCGGCCGGGCGCCGGCCGCGTGGCAGTGCTTGCCAGTGAGCCGCTCCGGGCCGAGTCCGGGCCCGGCACTGAGTGCTCCAAGGCTGAGAAGGAGGTTTGACGTGTGTTTTTTTTTTTACCCAACTGACCAGACGATCAGGACAGATAGAGAGACAGTGAGGAAGCGAGAGGAGGCGATCGGAGGGCATGATGTGAAGCAGTCAGTCCGAAAGATCTGCCAGAGTTGCAGTAGATGGTAAAAAAGCTGCTACTTGGAGTCAGTCATGCAAGGAGCTCAGACGCTTGTCCACTGTGCCTCTAGATGTCATGGTAGTGTTTTCTAATCTTTCACTGCGACAGATATCAGAGGGTCACCATTGACAACTACCGGATACACTTGCTCCCAGCAAACTGTCACCATCAATCAACTGAACAAGAATGATTCCCTTCAGTCATCCCTGATACTGATCGGACGATGACGAACAGTTCCAACTCCTGACCGCAGCCGACTTCGTTCTCTGCGTCTTTGCAAGAGCATGTCTCACACGCAGGGCCAGTCGGGGGGGAGGCGAGAGAGCACAACTGCAGGCAGCAGCATGCGCCTCCCGTCTACTTTCCGAGGTTACCACAAGTTCGTATCCCAGACGCCAAACTTCAAGAATGTGGAGGAGGAGGTGCGGGTAGCGACCCCGCGGTCGCGCGAGAGGGGTCTACTGCTCATGAGTGCAAGGATGTATACCTCCGCCTCCTTTGACAACTTCCTCCGATCCCTCGACGCCCGTCGGCCCGACAGCAAGAAGATCGTAACAACCATGGCGGAGCTTGCGGAGGTTGGATTTCTGACCTGCTGCCTCCCCGTATGCAAGAGGATGCAGCCGCTGTCCCTGGCAGAGGTGATCGCTGTCAGCAAGTACGGGCACATGCTCGAGCTCCCCCTCCCCCTCCAGTCCAACGATTTCTTCATCGGACTTCGGGATCGCTGTAAACGGATCGTCCACAGGCTCAGCAGCGGTTGCTACCTGATATCTTCGTCCTCGTCCTCGTCCTCGACCTCGTCCTCGTCCTCGTCCTTGTCCTCTCCACCTGCGCCTGCACTGCTTCATTGTCGCCTCTCTCATTTCTTTGCAGGAAACCTCCCCTCTCGAGTGGAAAGAGGACATGAGCTTGTACAGACGCTGCTGGAGCATCCCAACATCCTTAAGGTGGAGGCAAAACTTCCTCTGCCTCCTCCTCCTCTTCCTTCCCTTGCTCCAATAGTCTCCTTTTCTGCCTGCTTTTAATCCCCTTCAACACCCGTTCTCCTGTCCCCGTACTCTCTTCCTCCTCCTCCTCCTGTTCGTGCTCTTTTGTCAATCTTCTTCCTGCTAATCAAGATCACAGAGATTCGATAACAAACTTTTCGAGTTCCTCGCCACACACCTTCGCCGCCATCTCTCCCCTCTGCAAAAAGTTGTTCTGATGGACAGTGATAGAAAAGTTGAATCTTGACATGTCAGGACATTTTGATTTGCATTCAAATTCTCGTCCATGCAGTCAATGCAGGGCAGCAGCTCAAGAGCTGTGAGTCCTCTCAACTTGAGAGACTGACAAGTAACTCTAACCAACGTGCTCCAGGGGATCTAAACACTAAGACAAGTCGAAGTTTTTGCAAGTCAGTGGAATGTTGTGAGAGGTCTCTTGGTGGGTAAAGTCTGCTCTGCAGTTCAGCAAACGTGCCTCTCTTGTCTGGATTCAAGAGTCCAGGTGAGTCGAAATCTCGAAAATTTGCTTCATGTTCTTAAATTACACTCGTTGCAGGAAAAAAACACTCAGAAGCGGTGATCACAGTGTTGAATGTGGAAGATGGTGGTGGAGATGCTGCTGCTGCTGCTGCTGCTGCTGCTGCTGCTGCTGCTGATGATGATGATAATTGAGAGGTTGATGGCAGTTGGAGCGTCTTCAAAGTCTTCAGGACATTGATTCCATGGTTCGCATTGAGGATCAAGGTGACACAAAAGAAATGAGCGCAAGTTGAAGTTGTCTTGATCAAACATCTGATCCACGTGCAGATCTTGAGCGGATGAATTTGTTGAGATTGAGAAATAGAAGGTTACGACACGTGGAATGCTTGCCTCTTGTCCTCTAATCTTACCTCACCTCACTTTACATTATCTCACCTCACCTTATGTTGTCAACTCTTCAATCTTTCTGCAGGAGAATGTTGACAGACTTCATGTCGATCATTCGCACTCATGTCCCGGACGCTTGTAAGTTTCCGTCCGCTGTTCTCTTGCTCATCGTGTTGCTCTCTTCAAACTGCTGGTTCTCAATGTTTGCTGCCATTTCAGGTAAAGGTCCACCGACATGGAACAAGCGCGGAAGTCTGAAGGTTCTGCACACAAGAGATGTACTGTTGTGATGAATTGTTACAGGAGAAGAGTGTAAATATGATGAAGGTCTGGGGAGGGACGGGAAAAAGAGAGGAAGAGAAGATAGGAGAATTGAGGAGAAGCGGAGGTGAAAGGCAGAGGTGGGGAGCATGGGGAAGGGTCGGGAGGAGGGAAGGAAAATGGTGGGTTCAGACAGGAAAGGAGGAAAGGAGGATGGAATTAGAAGTGAAATGAGCATAGCAGAGCAGAGCATGGCAGAGCATGGCAGAGCATGGCAGAGCAAATGAGAGGAGAGGAGAGGAGAGGAGAGGAGAGGAGAGGAGAGGAGAGCAGGTGATAGCGGAGAGAAGAGGAGAAGGGAGCAGCTGGATAGTTTGTCACCGTGCTCCGTTTGTTTGCAGGAAGACGATTTTCTGGCTTTTGAAGAAGCTGAAGATTTCAATGAAGAGGAGCGGGCAGCAGGTAATCCATCCTCTCACCTGCTTCCTGTCACAGAGCCTCGTCCTCTTTACCAGAGATCGCAACCGGGGGCAACGAAATGTCGCATGACGTCAGCTCTCTTCCTCTTTCGCTCCATGCTGATGATGGCGCAGGACAAGGATGAGCTCAAAGAAATGTCCCGGCTCAGTCACATCCAGCGGTGAACATGTCTCCTCCTCCTCCTCATTCGCTTTCCCGTCTCCGCCGTCTCTATCGTAATGAGCATTGCTTTCCTTCCACAGGACCAAGTCTACCGCTTCACAGCCGGCATTTCCAATGGTGATTCCCCATCCTCGTGCTCGTGCTCGTGCTCGTGCTCGTGCTTGTCGTCCTCGGCACTCTACCCTTGTTTTGCTTCGTCTGTCATTCTCGCCTCCTCTGTTGTCCTTCTCGCCTTTCTCACATCCTACAGCATAAAACTCCTCCTCCCACCGCGGCTGCAGGCATCAACGCGATCTTCAACCTCAACCTCGACTATGATAAGGTGAGTGATGAATGATAATACAATGCTGCTGGTGGTGGTGGTGCTAATAGAGATGAGGTGAGCAATGATTGAGATAATGGAGATGATGATGATGATGATGATGATGATGATGATGATGATGATGATGGCATTCGCAGCTTCTCCCCAAGGTCAAGCGAGTGAAAGAAAAATCTGCCAAGAAGTGAGTTTTCTCCCTGCACACCTTCACCCTCTTCTCAACGCTTTCCTCCATCACCTACCAGGAAATGCATAGTACAGGAGATCATGGAGAAAGAGTTTCTGGCGAAGCCTCCTACTCCAGTCAAGAGGCCTCTGAAGCAGCTCTTTGTGACTTGCTCGTGTCGAGACGAGTGACGAGTGACGAGTTCGACAGGATCCTATCGAGCAACTCACCCAAGGCAGATTGACCCTCAGCAAGGATGACCTGCATGTATTGCAAACCCCTCGTCCTCGTCCTCGTCCTCGTCCTCGTCCTCGTCCTCGTCCTCGTCCTCGTCCTCGTCCTCGTCCTCGTCCTCGTCCTCGTCCTCGTCCTCGTCCTCGTCCTCGTCCTCGTCCTCGTCCTCGTCCTCGTCCTCGTCCTCGTCCTCGTCCTCGTCCCGTTCTTGTTCTTCTTTCACTCACTTTTTACTCTTTACCTCTTGTAACCTTACGCTCCCTCCTCCTACTTCTCTTGCATCATTCTCTTCCTCCTCCTGTCACCCTGCTTCCCACACCCCTCCTCTTGACTATCAAGACAGATGTTTGAACGGAGCCGAAAGATGACGAAGTTGAAGTTCAAAGAGGCCAGGATGGCACAAGGTATATTCATTACATCTCCTCTCTGAATCCAACTTTCTTGTATTTCGGTCTCCTTTCCTCCTCCCCCCTCCTTTCCTTCTAATCAATCGATGTCTTGCAGTTGCAGGGAGGATTCAAACTGCTCGAAGTTTCAATGTCAGCTCCGTGACCATATGAATGAGCGACCAACAAGATGGCGTAGAGGATAGAGTGTTGCGGATACAAAAGTCTGCAGTGTGGAGGGAGCTGGAGTCTCCTTCTCTATCTCCGTCTCTTTTCTGTCCTTGTCTTTGTTCTCGTCCTCTCGCTTCCTCCTCGTCCTGCTCAGGCGCTCTCGATTCCTGTGGATGTTTGTTCCTATCGGGGGCAAGCTTCAGTCCGGGGCGATGCGGGGGGGCGGAGGGGGGGGGGTTAGGTACCTCAAAGGGAATTCACGGGGGTTGCTAAATAATATGTATTGTATATGACTGTTTGAGAGAGGGGGGTGGGTGGGTCATTGTATAGGGTGATGGTGTGGTCCTCCACTGGGTGAATAGTAGCGTGATACGGGCGTTCACAGGGCACGAGACTTGAACCCCTTCGAGGGTGGTATAATGGGGGGGGGGGTACAGATCCAGCTGAATGCACCCACGAACTCGTTCCCACCCCTTCAAAATCAGGGCATTTGATGGGAAAAGAGGGGGTGAGGGTAGTAGGGAATGATATCAAAGGGATGTGGCTTCAAAACTATAAATTTTTTAGGTGAAACGACGCAGTCTTGGGGATGCAGGTATGACCCCTACCCCTAATGTCAGCTAGAGACATGTGAAAAGGAGCCAGTACCCCCATTTGCCCTCACATATACCCACCCATTTCATAAACCTTGGGGCCTCCTTGAAGCGATTACGTACCCCTACCATACTCCATCGATGACCCCAACACGATAGTAGTTTTCAGAGGGAATTGATGGGGTAGGGGTCCCTCGATCAGTTCGGTTCTGGAAGTCGCGGTCACGGCTTTTTTTCTTTTTTTCATTTTTTATCTGCGAGTACTGCGAGGGGTCCAATAGGGGGAAAGGGGTGGGTTGGGGTACATGGTCGTTTATTGACCGAGGATCTATAAAGTTTCGAGTGCTGACTTGAGGGGTGGTGAATCAGGTATAGAGGGTGGTAGGGGTCCATATAGTATGGGACTGTCGGATTCATCTGCTGGGGATGAGGTTTTCTCCAGGGGTGGGTGGGTATATATATTTATACGAGGCGCACGGGGGTCAACAAAAACGAATTATAGATTGAACGAGGGTGGGGGGGGGTGGGGGTAGGGTAGACATTCAATTTTACGTCGTCAAAGGTTAATTGAGGGGAGTGGGTGATAGCATGACCCCACCATGATAGATCCAAATCATCTGAATATGAGGGGTACAAATGGAGAGAACGGAAACTTCGCCGAGTGGGTGGTATGTTGAGATTAACAAGGTCTCCACCCGCAAAATGGGGGGGTGGGGAATGCAGGGGTAGGTGCTGATCCAGCTGGATGGGAACAGGGGTAACGCGAAGATGGCTGTGGAGGGGAAGGTGGTGTTGGGGGGAGGGAGCGAGGGGACGCAGAGGCAGAAATCGAGGAGGAAGAGAGTGTTTGAGAGGGTTGATCTGAAACCATTGCGATCAGATGACGCGAACAAGGAGAGGTAGGCTGGTTAGAAAGGTTCTAGAAGCTGCACAACTCGGGAAGCACTTGGGTGGTTTCATGATTAGTTGCGGGTTAGTTGGATGCCGTTGCAGCGTATGCTCCTTTGACTCTCTTCAAGAGATTGATGGATCAAATTAAAGGCAGTTTGAGTAGAATCGAAGAGGGGCATGCACGTCTTAATACGTAGCAAATATTCTGGCTCGATTCTGCCCGTTTCTTTTGTTATCTATTATCCTATACAGTATCAAACACGAGGCAGCTTTTTTCTATTCTTCACAACCTGTAGTTGCAGTTGAGCATATTCACTGGATCTCGTTCATTCTTCTTCTTACAAAAGTGCTCCAATGAAGGTTGAGAGGACCCTCGAGCTTTGGATGTCGAGAGATAAAACGCTCTCAAACCAAAGGTAAACAGCAGGGGATCCTCTGCTTTGTGCTTACGCATTGCCGGATCGCTCAAAGATTGAATCGTTGTAGGTACAACGGAAAAGCCCCAGACGTCGTGAAAACCACTGCCATGGTAGCAGCAAGCAACCAGATAAATGATTGTGATGGATTTGGTTTTGAGATGATGGAGGACGATCGCAATGGTTTGTTTTCTGGCAATCTGAGCAAGCAATTGTCAAATCCGATCGAGTATTCAAGATTTCCAGAGTTTACCTACCAGAATTTGAATTCAGAGAACATCCCGCTGGGTGAAGACTGGATCAACCAGCAGGTGCTCGCCAACATGCAGGAGAAGATGGGGGATGAGATTCTCTCGCGCGTCTCCTCTCTGGACGACAAGTCAAAGCTCGTCGGGTTTGACGGGTCTGAGCTCCCCCAGGCTCTCAAGACAGACTTCCTGCGCTCTGCCGACTTCCCCGAGATGTGGGCTATCCAGTCGTCGAATGTTGCGGACAACTTTGAGATGGAGGAGAGTCAGGACAGCAGGGCGTATGACCTCACTGCCTGTGCTCTTATCAAGCATGAGATGGGAGGAGAATCTCAAATTGATAACCTTGAGTTTTCTACAACACAATCTAATGCATCCTTTGATGAGGCTGACCTGATATCGGGATGCAGCGACCAAACCAAAAACAAAATGAGCCAAAAATTGATAATGGATCTAGATTGAAAGAGATTCAAACCCTACAGATACACACATCGAACAACAGCAGCAACAAAGATGGAAGCAGCAGCAACAACAACATCATCAACAACAACATCAGCGCCGGCTGCGGCAGCAACAACAATACCAATATTACTATTTACAATATTGCAGATCATATGATGACAAAGAGCCCAACGGGTATCACGACGTTCAGCCTGATGGCAGGAGGGAGCAACAGGAGTGTTCTGAGTGCTGCCGCCCTGCCTCGTCACGGCACAACGGCAAAGACGAAACGAGCGGCTCCTCATAAGTCAGAGAGGAGCAGGACGCTGAAAGAAGATGATCCCTGCAGGCCCTCCACCTCGTTGTACCCCGAAAGCCTCCCTACTCGAGACCCTTTCGAGATCAAGGCCATTGCGACTGGTCTGTGCCAGCTGTTTCCGAGCATGTACGATAGGAATGTCCAGCTGTTTGACATCCTTGCGGTGAAGGAGGCGGTCACCCTGCCTTGGCCTTGCAATGATCCTCGGGGAACGATCACGCAGATTTCAGTGCAAGCGAAGAATCCATACCCGAAGCACAATGGCAAGAAGCAGTATGATTCATGCACGTTTATGATGAAGATGATGGGCGATGATGAGATCAAACTGCGGGTCTGGTCCAATGGCAGAACACAGGCCTACGGGTGCAAAAGCAGAGATAAGCTGATCGAAGCCAACACAATCGCTGTTGATATGATCCGAGTAGTCGATAAGATGTGCAAGAGCTCTGGTTATCCTCTTTCTTTTCACTCTGTTGTTCTTGACTGCGAAGAAAGGTATGCCAACTTTGTGGAAGGTTGCCAAGAAGAACGCAGACGAGTTGTTGCAAGAAGGTAAGAAGAAAGAGAAAAAGCAGTGAGTGAGTGAGTGAATGTGAGTGAATGAATGAAAGAGGGAGGGAGGGGGGGAGACGTAGAAGCGGTAAGTGACTTTGTTTGTAGATTGCGTCAAGATAATATCTGCGCCGCTTCTTGGAAGCTGGAACATGAACTTTAAGAGTGAGACCTCGAAGATGACATTCCGTGCCTGACTGCTGGATCAGATGTTGGGATCAAGCTCAACATGGACGCTCTCTTCAGATTCCTGCAATCTCATGAATTCTCCGATCGGTATGTCCGTCATTGAGAGGAGGTCAGCCTGACGGTCTGTCGTCTCGTCAGAGTGCAGAGAGTTCAGTTTGCCAACAAGAAGGGAAACTCGGTGAGCTGGTCATGCTGAAGTCTCTTGGCCGTGACGGGTCACCTGCAGGCGCGATTCAACAACCTCTCGCTCTACATCCGCATCTCCTGCCTCAAGAACTGGATTCATGACCCTGCTGGGGAGGGCAGGCAGGACAACGTCTATGTCAACGTCTACGAGTCTGGTACAGCGTCCTCGTCCTCGTCCTCGTCCTCGTCCTCAGCTTCCTCCTCGTCCTCCTCCTCGTCATTCTCGTCCTCCTTCCCATCCTCCTCTTGCTCCTCTTCGCCGCGCTGACCTCTCTGCAGGCAAGTGCAGCGTCCTTGCGGTCCCAACATTCGAAGTAGCGGAGGAGCTAGCCGACATCGTTAGCGAGCTGCTCTACCGGTCGCTGAAGAAGGTGAAGGTAAAGCAGCTGTGTGAGAGGGGTCGATGACTGCTGGGTGACAGCCGGGTATCTCGGAAGTCACCAACGATAAGAAGAAGAGGCGGACGAGCTGAGAAAAATCCAGTCGGCCCTCTGCCTCGACTGCTGCTGGACGAGCAGCACAACCGATGACAATGTATATTTTATTGTTTCAATATTTTATTTCAAGAATCTCACAAGAACAAAAGTGCTCTCCATTCACATTGACTCCTCCTCCTCCTCCTCCTCCTCCTCTTGCTCCTTTTCGATTCTTCATCCTCCTCTCTCCCTCTGTGTCTTCTCCTTGTTCTCCTCCCTTCCGCTCCCTCATACAAACTCATCCCACACGCCGTCGTCTTGAGCCGGCGCCTCCTGATCGTCAGGCTCCTGGAAACTCACGCGAGGAGCCGACGACCCGCCCAGCTGCAGTTTGCGGATGATGCGGAGGAACGTCTTGAAGTCAAGATGCTTCACATCCTCCTTGTTCAACTTCTTGATAGTGTCGTTGGCGCGCAGAGAGGAGATTTGCATCTACAGGGGATAGGAGGAGAGGAGGAGAGGAGGGGAGGAGGAGAGGAGGAGAGGAGGAGAGGAGGGGAGGAGGAGAGGAGGGGAGGAGGGGAGGAGAGAAAATACCTCAGGTGTTCGCACTCTGCATCCTTCACCTCCAGGTCCGCGTCCTTGGTGCTCAAACATTCTTCGAGGCTCCAGACCTGCGGGAGGAGGTTGAGGAGGGGGCAGCAGGGAGGAAGGAGTTTCCTTCTCCTGCAGGACTTTGTTCTTGCTCTGCTCCTTGCTCAGCTTGTCCCGCAAGATCACAAGCTGCTTCTCCGCCTCCCTCCTGGCTCTGACAGCTTCGAACTTCTCCTTCTTCTCCAGCTCCTCCACATCCGACGACAGAGAGTCGCTCCTGCAGCTCTTGTTGAGATCTTGTTGCCTCCTCCTCGGGTACCTGGTTCGAACCACCAGCCGCCTGTACCTCGCCTCTCTGTACAGCTCTGGTTGACTCGGTCGGTCAGTATGAAGGAAGGATGCGACTGCATCAGAGTCTTGGAGCTTGTTCGAGTGCTCTGTGAAGCATCAGACAAGAGAGTCAAGTGATGAGAAGAGATCCACCTTTGAGCTGCGGGATTCGCAACTTGGTCAGCAGTTTCTTCTTGGTAGGCTTGTTGAGTTTGACATCTCCGACATCTTGACCATGTTGCTGTTGAAACATGTTTCATCGGTATGCGAGCACGAGTGTCTTGTACCTCTACAACTTCCATAGCGTCATGGTGGCTGTACAAGTCGTCGCCTAAGAACCTCTGACTCGTGTACGTCGGGCTTTCCTGCGAAGAAGCTGATCCTCTGGCCTCCTGCGAGCTGGTCAACACCTGGGCATGTCGCTCATGTTGACTCACGTCCTCCTCGAGTTGTCGCTTGTCGGAGAGCTGGGGGTTCGGGATGCGATGCTTGAGGAGATGCTTGAGCCTGGATACCTTCATCCTCCTCCTTCTCTTCCCCCTCGCCCTCAAGCTCTCAAGCTCCTCAACCTCCTCAGCTGCTGCGCCTGCTCCCTTGCTTGCTCATCCTCCTCCTCTCTCCTCCTCCTCCTCCTCCCCTCTCTTCCGCGTCCCCATCTCTCCTCCCTCCCTCCCTTCCATCCCCTTCCTCCGCCTCCCCCTCCGCATCGAGCCGTTTATTAGGACCATCGGGACGCTGATAGTGACGGGGGTCTTTTGTATAGGGGAGGGAGAGGGGAGGGAGGAGAGATGGAGGGAGAGGGAGGGAGGGTGATGTTTACGATGGAAATCATGGAGATGATGGAGAAGGAAATGGAGGAGGAGGAGGAGGAGGAGGAGGAGGAGAAGAGGAGGAGGAGAAGTTGATGATGATGTTGACGATGATGATGATGACGATGGAGATGCTGCTGCTGCTGCTGATGATGATGATGATGATGATGATGATGATGATGATGTTGACAACGATACGGATGATGACCATGATGACAAGGCAGGAGGGAGAGTGACGACGCTGATTCGAAAGTTCTGCAAGCTTGGCAGCTTGATAAATGTATTCCAACATGCTGCAACTTTCAATCTAAGACAGTTATTCTCACTGATCCTCCTTTCAACTCTCTCAGTCTCTCCCTAGAAACTCTTCTGTCTCCGTAGACACCTGCAGCAATTTCACTTGTCATCCTACGTATATCAAGACTCTCACGAAGACACGAGTCCCGACGTTGACGTAGGACGGCACCTGCTCGGTCATCTTCAGCAAGGAAGCCATGGTAGCAGTATGTTGACAACGAGAATGAGGAGTGAAGAAGGGAGAGAAGCAGAACAAGTAGAAGGAGAACAAGGAGGAAAACAAGAAGGAGGAGAAGGGGAGGAAGAGAAGGAGCCAGGAGGAGGAGGAGGAGGAGGAGGAGGAGGAGGAGGAGGAGGAGGAGGAGGAGGAGGAGGAGGCGCACAGCAATCGTCCTCCCGTTGGTCAACACTGCGTTCTTTCCATCTACTCTCTCAACCTGCACCAAGAGCTGTAAAGAGCAGGAAACCATGCTTCTTGCTCCCCACCTCACAGAGAGCCTTGGCAGGGAGCTCGAGCAGGAGCGGTTCTTCGTTCACGAGGATCAACTTGACCTGTGGAAGGTGCATGAGGAGAAGAGAATATGGATGGCGGAGGGAGAGGAGAAGCTCGAGAGGAGGAGGGAGGAGAACGGGCGGAGGAGGAGGGATGGGGGAAGGAGCAAAGAAACAGGGGGAAAGAGTTGGGGGAAGGAAGGGAGAGGAGGAAAGGGAGAGGAGGAGGACGTACATTATCTCCCTCGTTCAAGTAAGCCAACTGATGCTCGGCAATGATGCTCTCCGGGACTTCAATGCCCTCGAACGTGCTCGGGTCCTGTCGAGACAAGAAAGGCACAGCATTCAGCGGGGATGAGTAGATGGAGTGAGGGGACGAGGAGGGGAGAGCTGAAGGACCTTTGCAAGGAGGGAGAGGGGGGAGGGAGAGGAGAAGGGAAAGGGAGGAGGGAGAGCAGGAGGGAAGGGAGGAAGGAATAGAGGGGGAAGGGTCACCTGAAGGTAAAGCTGCTTGTTGTCCGAGTACAAGTATGTCAGCTCTTTCTTCTCGACGAAACATTTCTCCAGCTGTCAGCATCATCTCACAAGAGCACAGCAGCGTCGAGTTGCTCTCACCTTCTCCTCCGCTCGGAAAGTCTCCGTCCTCTTGCTCTTCGACTTCAAGTCCCTGCCATGCGCGTCACATCGCCCGTGACGCCGCATGTCAACTCGCCGAAACTCAACGATGACGAACGCCTTGCGGTTGTTGATTTGATTCGACAGCTTGATAACAGTGCATTTGCTCCCCTTGAACTCGAACACCTCGCCCTTCCACCCCGTCACCAACGACCCTCCACACACGATTCTCCTCTCCCTCCTCCTCTCCCTCCTCCTCTCCCTCTTCCTACCTTGCGGAGCTCAGCTGCCTGAACTGAGACGAACCTCAAGCCCATTGCCGAGGGAAGGGGAGACGACCTCGTCCTGAGTGCCGTCAGCCTCGCAAGCATCGCAGTGCATCTCACCACAGGCGGCTCGCAGCCGGTATGCCAGCATTGAAGCTCAAGGACCTTTGCAAGGAGCGAGCAGAGCTGCTGCTGTTGACAGGCCTCATCCAGCAGCTCGCCTTCCTGGCTAACATGCGTACAGACATCTGAACATAACGCCATAATCAGTATGCTGAGAATCCACACGCAGAGCTCATGACTATTACTGGACAACTTGTGCTGCTCCTGCTGCTCCTGCTCCTGCTCCTGCTCCTGCTCCTGCTGCTGCTCCTGCTCCTGCTCCTGCTCCTGCTGCTGCTCCTGCTCCTTCAGCTCCTGCTCCTTCTGCTTCTTCTTCTTCTCCTCCTCCTCCTCCTCCCTCTCTCCCTCCCTTGCAGCCTCCCCATATCCTTCCAGAGATCATACATACCGATTCATCACCCTCATACCCCTCCCAATGGCCGCAATGCTTTCGGGGGCCGTTCAAGAGGGGAGACTGCGGGAGCAGCGTCGGGCTTTCCCACCTCCTTCCTCCTCCTCCTCCACCACCTCCTCCTCCTCCTCCTTCACCTCCTCCTCCTCCTTGTCTTCCAGCAGGTCTCGCTCCTCTGTCCCTTCCTCGCTCTGTCTGTTCATGCTCGCCGCCTCCCTCACTACCCTTCCACTTGCTCAGGGCCTGGTCCATCCCTTGGCTTTTTCGCCGAGGACTGACCGTGGGACGGCATGGGAGGCGAGGAGAGCGAAGTCAGCAGGGACTGGCGTCCTCGGGACGGTCTTTGAGAGCAAGCTCCCCCTGCTGCGTGCGGAGGTGAAGATGGACCTGAGGAAACAAGACAAGATCAGCAGAGACGTCGAGAGGAGTGGCAGCTACGATCAGGACGATGACGAGAGCATGGACATGGCTCCTCCCTCCTCCCTCTCTGCCCTGCGCTCGCAGGACAAGATCTCCTCCTCCTCCTCCTCCTCCTCCTCCTCCTCCAGCAAGGTGATGGGATTTCCCAACGCAACAGACACCATATCGACATGGATGCAGCGAGCCGACCTCACGCACGACGTCAACGACCCGACGTATCAGGAGATCATCAGGGAGTTTCAGGAGATAGACAGAGAAGGTCAAGATATGGGACCGAGTCTCTTCTCCAGCGGCGGGTCCGTCGGGGAAATGTCGGAGGAATCCGAATCTTGGTACAAATCGACCTTAAAGAGGTAAGAGCAGGGAGGACGAGACTTCGGGCAGCTGACTCAGGTGACAGGAATCCTGATCCCTACGGCATCCTTGAGAACTTCGAGAAGAATATCTACGCACGAGCCAAAGAGCTCAACATGACCCTGACGGAATACAACGAGAAGTATGTGAAGGTCAGAGCGGCAGTGCGTGTTGGTTTCAAGTCTGTCCTGTGACCGTCGGTCTAGATCAAGGTCGAGCCGACAGTCATGACGGTGAAGATGACATCTCCAAGAGATGATCCGAGTATCGAGCAGGTGCTCTTGATCTCTGACTCTTTGTCTCCGTACCCTCCCTCCCATCCCTTCTTGTTTGACGGCAGTCTGCTCACGATGCCTTGTAGTTCGCCACGACGCAATTCAGTTACCCAGTCTACTCTCTCCTTGAACGGGTCCCATGGTGCACATGCTGGTAGTCCATTCTCCTCCTCTCCCATGACGCGGCAGGAGTGACATTGCGCAGGTACGGTCAGTTCTTCGAGGTAGAAGCCAAGGAAGACGTTGAGATCACTGGACTCTACATACAGGTAAGGAGTGCGGGCATTGGCTCCCCTTGCCTACCACGAGGAGGGTCAGGATTTACGTCTTGCTGCTCTAGTCGGGGATTTACTGGAAGGACTTTGAGGAGGAGCTTATGAATGTCACCGTCTACACCCGAGAAGGGATCTCGAGCGTGAGTGTGAAACCTGATGAGCAAAGAAGGCAAAGAAGATGAGGAGAAAGAAAGGAGAAAGAGAGGAGAAAGACAGAGAAAGAGGAGAAAGAGAAGAGATAAAGGAGGAAAAGGAGAAACGGGGGTTGGGAGGGGCCGGGGAGTGTACAGTTGTTGTTTTCTGACACAAGTCAAAGGGGCATGAACTGAATGAGGGAGATTGGACCCAAGTCGGTCAAGACCTCAACGCTCGTTTCCCCATTGCAAACTTCACCAAGAACTCAAAGTCTTTGCCTTTGTCACTGGTCATCGCATCTTTGACCTCGCTCTCAGCCCCAAGTACGGCAAACTCACTCTCGACCATCCCCTTGTCATCAAGGGCGGTACCGTGAGGTAAGATCCGCTCACCTCAACTCCCCTCTCTCACCCGCGCACTAGATCCTTCCTTGTTCACACCAACAATGTTCGCGGGATGGTCCTGCGGGCCAAGTATCAGAGCAGCTGGCTACCAGGGGAAGTGACAGACTGGTCCGTTTCTTGCTGAGGTCTCTTTGTTGTCGGGCTCTAATTGAGATTGTCAGTGACGAGCACTTATCGCTCCGGGCTGGACGTCTGCCCGGAAGCAGGGGTGGATTGAGTGATGTGAGAGGAGGAGGATGAGAGGGGGAGATATTGGAAGGAGGGGGAGGGGGAGGGGGAGGGAGAGGAGGAACTTGGAGTTGGGGGGGGGGAGGAAGAGTGCATGGTCTGACAGTAGAAGCAGGATGTGTTCAAGAAGGTGTATCATACGGACCACGGTTCGGCTTTTGTGGGTATCATCGACTACCGTGTGTTGTGAGACAGGAAGGAGCTCAGGCAGGTCTGCTCTTCATTTGCTTTCAATACAAGAGTTGAAAGAATAACTGAACTGATAGAGGGACTACGGCAACAGCCTAGCTCAACTAGCTACCTTCACCGTCCCGTCCCCCTTTGGCTACATAGACATAAGAGTTAGTTCACTTCTTCCCTTGGCCCTTCCCCTTCTTCTTCGACGCGCTCTCCTCGGCCCCCAGCGACAGCGTCTTGGCCATAATGGCCTCGAGCTCAGGCACCTCCTGCTGCTCCACCGCGGCCACATCATCATCGTCTGCCATGTCAAGTGAGAAAGAAGAGTCGCTAGCTCAACAAAAGCACCTTCGAAGCGAGTATGAACTCCCTGCCAAGAGACATCCCTGCAGACAGGCAGCAGTCAACGTCTGATCCGTCCCCTTGCAACCCTCACCTCTCCTTCTGCTCCTTGTAGAAATAGGAGGGCGGCTCGCGGTACTTGAGCTTCTCCTGGTCAACTTGCGATGGCTGCTCAGCAGATGCTCCCTGGTTGCCGGAGACGGCCTCCACCTTGTTCGATCCCTTGTAGATCTTGTAGGTGAGCCCAAAGTGAGTCACCTCAACAAACTCCTCGCCGTTGTCAGCCTTGTTGTCAGTTTCCTCCTCGTGCTCCTCCTCCTCTTGCCCGTTAGTCTCCTTCCTGATCGACACTTCCTCAACCTCCTTGGTCTCATTGCCATCCTCGTCGAATCGGATGTGTGTCCTGTACACCTTCTCCTCCTGCTTGACCTCGTTCTGCTCCTCCATCTTCACTGGCTTGGTGTCGTTGGTGATGTCGGCCATAGGCTCCTTCATTACAGCATCCTTCCCGGAAGCTGCTTGGATGATACCCGTGTTTTCATCAGCAGCACTGACGGTCTCTACGTTCTTCTTAGTCCTTGGCATGTCTCGTCCCTCGCTCGCGCGCTCTCTCCTCGCGCAACAGGACGAGAATATATAAACCAGGGCGCTGCCGTTACACGCCTCCAGGGGAATTCAAATTCAAAACACGCCTTGGCCAGTGTGACCGTTCGATGGGCAACTGACGGTCCGAAAGCGGCCCGGTGTGGCTCACTGAGCGGCGGCCACTGAGCCGGGGCCGGCGGGCCCGGCCGGGCGGGGCCGCGCAGCCTGCCGCTTGAATCATGGCAGGGCCGATCATGGCAGTCACACCGTGCCACGGTGGCCGTGCCGCCGGCCCCTCCGAGCGGCGGCGGCGCGGCTGCCGCACCGGCGCCCGGGCCCGGCCTGGCGTCACTGTCACGGTGTTGCCCCCGACTCGGCCCGGCCCCGGTTGGCAGAGGATAGGAGTGCCGCCCCACGCGGCTCCGAGGCTCACTGCCCGGGGCCCGCGGCATCGGAACAAGTTGGCATCAGCGCGGCATCGGAACAAGTTCATGCCGCGATCGGACTGCGGCGGTGCGGCAGGCCGCCGCTGATCCAACGGGCGGCCTGTGGCACGGTCCGACTGACCGGGCCGGGCCGTATGGCATACTAGGAGTTCCGAGTACTCAGGCTTTACTCAAAGTGTTCAGTACTCGGATTCATGCAAAAGTTGACAAAGAGAAGTTCAAATAAACTGTTGCCTATTGATCAGATTTCAAAATACATCGGAACATTTCACTGCACGAAGTTCCCGATCCAAACTGTGTTACAGTCTTTCGAGGGAAGGAAATGAAATCATGAAAATTCACTGCTACTATTGAAATTGAACATCAGTACTTTTCAAATATTCAAATGTTTGGTTTCGGAGCAGGACCCATCGCTTCTACCCCCTTGACCGATTTCAAACAAGGGGGTCCATCGAACAGTTCCAAAAAAAACAATTTCTTCGAGTACCCAATATACACCCCACCCCCAACTTATCAATGAAATTACCAGGGATATAAGGGGGTTTTCAGTGGCAAGGGGAAAACCGTTCCTCCTGTGAGAGCGCGGGAAAGAGAATGTTCCTCTGCTGATGGGGGAGGGGCAGGAGTGGAAGGAGGAGAAGAACATGGAGGGACGAAGAAGGAGGAAGAGCAGTAGGGAGGAGAGGAGAGGAGAGGAGAGGAGAGGAGTGGAGAGCGGTGGTTGAAGGGCAGGAGCTGGTTGCTCGCAGGACTTTGTTGTGGATAATTGTGATAAGGGAGCTGGAGGAAAAAACCACCAAACCAAGAGCGTGGATAGATTGCGACGGCACATGAAAGCGAGGAAGAGAATCGATGAGGATTGAAGTTTGGAATCAAAGCTATAGGATATGATGGCATGTGCATGATGTTGAAATGTTGTCAACGAAACAAAATTATCAACTGCAATGTCAGTTGAAGTGCCTCGATCGTAGTTTGGGTTTCCATGATGCCTTGAAAGCTATAGATGTGCATTACTTAGCAAGAAGATAATCATAGATTCCACCCACCAGAGTTCTTGTCAACTTGGAAGTATTGATAGACGATTCCGGATGTCAAGTGTACACGCTTCGTTGTTCACCAGTCTGGCGGCTAGGCTAACAACAGTACGCACTTGTTCGACGTGCCTGCGGAACACTTGAGACAACTTGGCTCGGAGTCGATCATGTGACACTGATAAATGTTCTTCAGCAACATGTCGGATTCTGCACTCGGCGATGGATCCTCGGAGCCTCCTTACAAGAAGAACCTGGAGAGACTTGCTGCCTTGCAGGTCAGTTGACGTGTTTGTTCGGATGATTCTGCTCATGATGATCACGGATATTGAGTTGATGGCGGTGGAGATTGATGAGATCATGGCAAGGGTGATAGATCTTGATTGGGACGCAGGATCGTCTGAGCAAGGTTCAGAAGACCGCTGAGTCCCTCCTGGCCACGGTCAGCGGCAGCGGAGACTACACTAACAAGCTCGTCTACACTGACTTGGAGCGTCTCAAGGGCTTCATCCGTCAGAACCCTGGGGTAAGGGAGGCAAGACGGGTTCTTTGAGCTGCTGAACTGACCTGTCTGACGTGCAGGTCTCGCCTGGTTTCTCTCTTGACGACGAGAGTGCTGTGGAGATTCGTTTCATTGTGAAGTGCGGAGACGAGGAGACTCGCAAGAAGATCCTCTCCGATCTCAAGTTGACATCTGATACGAAATAAGCTGCTTTGCTTTCAAGATTTCTGCGCAATTTCGGGCCAAATGTGCTCGTCGATGAGAAGTTTGGTGTCTTTGTCGATTTTCCCTGTTTTTTGAAACCTTGGATCAAAGCATTCAGCTTTGTACTGCTCCAAATGTTGATGTCAATAAATCAATCAATTGTTCCAAACATGACATGTTGAAAATTCTTCCTGTGCTCCCCTACGACTCGTAGACCACACCCTCGCTCATTCTTCGCTCACGTTGACCACAACTTTGCCCACGCTCCGACCGCTGCCATCCTCGTCAGTCTCATGCACCCTCGTCACCATCCTCTTCCTCCTACCTCTTGAAGAAGCGAAGGGCCTCCGGCATCTGCTCGCTTCTCGTGAGCTCATGCATGCAAGGGAGTCGTCCTCACCTCATCAAACCTGAACTCCGCCCCGACCATCGGAGGATTCCAGCGCCTCTGAAGCATCTGGTCCATGAGGAGGCCCAGGACCTTGGGGTCAGTCTCGCCGTCTGTCAACCTGCGACCGGATGAGACAAGAGCGAGGAGGAAACGTTGGGAGAGAGAGGGAGGGAGGGAGGGGAAGAGGGAGGGAGGGGAAGAGGGAGGGAGGAGAAGAGGGAGAGTGAAGATGAGGGAGGGAGGGAAGGAGGTGGAGAGTTGGAGAGAAAAGGGAGGAGGAGAGGGGGAGGGAGGAGAATCTAGAAGTGGTCATGATGGAACGGGTGAAGTTGCAGGGGGAGTGGGAATGGTAGAAGAGGTTGTAGAGGAACAACGGAGGATGCGGAACCGCAGGAGGAGGAAGAGAAGAGCAAGGCAAGAGCAAGGGAGGAAGCGATCAAGGTGGCTAACGGGGAAGCGACTTGAGGTTGAGGGAGGAAGGAGTACCAGATGAGGTTGAATCCTAAGACAGCCTTGTTCTGCCCGATCATCTTCTGCACGTCCAACTTGGGCCGGGAGAGGAACTTGGGGACTATACTCCTCCAGAACTCAAGGGACCACCAGACCTTGAGACCAGCCCTCAGCTCTGAGACAGGAACAGCAGCAGCGAAGGAGGAGGAGGAGGAGGAGGAGGAGGAGGAGGAGGAGGAGGAGGAGGAGGAAGGATGACGAGGAAGGATGAGGTGCAGCAAGGAGGAGGAGGAGGAGGAGGAGGAGGAGGACTAAGGAGGAGGACTAAGGAGGAGGACTAAGGAGGAGGAGGAGGAGGACTAAGGAGGAGCAAGGATGAGGAGGAGCAAGGAGGTGGACCTTGCCGAGGTCACCACGTGGAGTGTAAGAAGCAGCCTTGCGACATCAGAAGTCAGCAACCAGCGTGTTTCTCGCTATCTTCTCTCGTTCCTCCTCCCCTTCCTGCCTGCCTTCCACTCACCCCGAAGAGAACGTGACGTCCTTGCGGGCTCAAGCTGCAAGAACCAGTCAGATTCGAGTGTGACTAGCGCGTCGACCTCTCGTAGCCAGGGCTGAAGTACTTGCCGGCCACCGAGTCCATGATGACGTCATACCCCCTGCACCCACTCCCTGAGCAAGACAGGAGGACCGAGAGCTGTACGTCCTACTTCCCATCCAGAAGCTGACAAGCTCCAATCACATCCTCCTTGAACCTCCTGCGCAGGACTGCAAGTCAGACCACCCCAGCCCCCTCCTCTCCTCCACCAGACCGCGGGCTCTGCTTCCTGATTACAATCTGCGACTTCTCGAGCCCGTAGGTCTCTGCCAGCAGCGCTGACTTTTCCTCCGATCCTACGATGGCAACTGATGGCACTAGGTAAGGAGGGGGAAGGGGAGGAGAGGGGGAGGGAGAGAAAGGGAGTGGATGTGGGAGTGAGATTGGGAGTTGGGGGTTGGGGAGGAAAGAAAGGGCGGGGGGGCGGGGGGGAGGGAGGGGGGAGAAGGTCGGGCCACCAGGGGTCATGTCGAAGAGCCGGCAGATCTGAAGGCAGAAGAGGCCAACACCTCCTGCAGCTGAGTGGATCAAGACTCGCTTCCCCGCCTGCGCCTGTCCAAGCTCAACCAACCCGTACCATGCGGTCAAACCCTGGACAACAAACGATGCTCCTTGTTGAAACGTCCAGTCGTCGGGGATAGGTCGGATGTAGGAGGAGCCGACATTCAGGTGCGTAGAGAAAGAGCCGAAGCGAGAGAAACCCATGACTCTGTCTCCAACTCTGATCTTCTGACCGTCCCCCTCCTTCGTCTGACTGGGCTCCGGAGACGACACCAGGACATTTCGCTTCCCGTCGGGCGACCTCGATACGATCGCAGATTTCCGGTTCTGCAGGCGATCACCGATAGCCTCTACCACACCAGAGAACTCTAGACCAGGGACAAGGTTCTCCTTGGAGGACGCGGCGTCATACATGCCCAGCACCGTGAAGACGTCGGCGAAGTTGAGACCGATGGCGCAGACTCGCACGCGAACCTCGTCAGGGCCAGGAGGAGGAAGCATGTCCTTCTTCTTCTGCAGATGTTTGAGGTTACCAGGCTTCTCGATCATCCAGACTTCTCGCTCGATCTCTGCATCTCCGCTCATCCGAATCGTCCGACCTCCCCTCCTTGCCCAGGATCCCAGTGGCATCATGCCTGATCGCTGATTTCCCCATCCCTGATGCCGACCATCCGCTGTGCATGCTTGTCTCCCGTGCTCTGTCCATGACGGCAGGCTGATTCGCAGGAGTGACCATGCCTCTGCGCCCTCGAGGAACAGGCAAGCCATCGCCATGAACACCGTTCGGCACGCCATTTTCACCCCTGTTGCTGAGCTTTTTTTGAAAACTTTCATATCTGACACGAGGCGGGTTGGCCTCAAGACCTCTAGGAGTGTCAGTCACCGCAGGCGCGGGCCGGCTTCGAGTCCGAGGAGCCCGGACCGGGCCGGTTACAGTACTTCAAGCGCTGACAGGCCGGGCCCGGCGCCCGACCATGCTGGCCCGGCGACTGACTCGATGATTATTAGTCTGACTCCGAGGCACGGTACAGCCCTGATATGGCCCGGTACACTGTGCTAGACGTAAAAATAACCGATAAGGTACCGTAATAAAGGTGAGCTGGTACTACGCCGGGTTCAATATAATATTATAAGCTCAATAATGGTGGTACCATCCTGGTGTTAATCCAGGGGTTCATTTGACCGACATAGAAGGGGTGGAGGTAATTCGGAAACTGAGCTTCAGGAGGACGGAATTTTAGCAAAATCTCGAGCACAGCGGGCGTCCTCGGTGGGAATACAAAGGGTGGGGTAGTTTTTCCAGGTCAGTGGAGGTGGTGGGGTACACTATTTTCGACAATTGACGGGGGTCAGGGGATAATGATGGGCCACTATTCATAGGTCAGGAGTACCAAGATTGTGGTCATATTTTTTCATCGGAGGGTAGGGGTAATTTGTGTGGGGTGGGGTGGTCAAAATGTGCTGTCAGGGCTGAGACCTTGGTTGGGGTACTTTACGCATGCCAATCAATGATAGATTCTGTTTACCCTACCCTACACTTATCACCTAGAAGAAAGGGGTCCAGGGGTACAATCGGCGTCGATTGTAGAGTGAATAGTTATAACACCAAATGCCCTGAAGTAAACTGAGGGAGAGTTGGCGTGTTTGACTGAGGAGGAGAATGGGTAGGGGTCATGCTCATGCAAGATTTCGAAGTAGAATTACGGGGTACTATAGTTATTTGGGGGGGTAGGGGTATTGATCAAAGGGGGTAAGGAGTGTTGTACGAAGAAGACAGGCACTGATATGGAATATGTGGGGCGTCAGATCAAGACAGGGGTGGTTCGAAGGGAAAACCAAGGGGTTATCACATGATTGATTTGTCTGGGGTGGGTGGTCAGATACTGCAGGCGTCTGGAAAAGTACCCGGTGGTTTTATGGAAATGAGCAGGGTACACTACTGGTTGAGGTGAATTGTTCTAGTCGTAAGGGGTAGGGATGAAGATCGGTCAAAATGAAGGGTTGTAGACGTGGGGTAGGGGGCATATTTAGAGGACAAATATCGAGGAGCCAGCAAAACTGTGGCAGAATTTCCATTTTTAATATGTCAAATTTGATATCGTGGGAAATTATGGTTGCAAATCATGTGACGGAAGGGGTCGTGCCGGTATACCCACTCCTGGAAAGACACAGGGGGGGGCTGGGGGTGAAAAAACGAAATCATGTTTTTTCGCACATTCGGTCAGAACTGTACCCCACCCATCGGAGTACGACGCTAGTATCACCCACCCTTCATCTGTGAAAATATTGGTACAAATTAACATGGATGACCGGTGTAAATGATACATCCACTCACAGGACCCCTCTCCCTCTCGGGGGCGCTACTAGGGCCTATACCAGAGCAGGAGGTCGACCAAGGAACAACAAGGCGTGGAGGCGAGGAGACAAGCAGACGCTAGGGGCTCGAGGGACAACACGAGGGAGAGCGAGCAGTAGCGACAGAAGGGTAAGGGAGAGAGCTTGCCTGAGAAAACGTTGAGCAGCTACCGTAGAGGATGCAACTCACTCCTTCCATTCCTGCGATCCTCCAAGCAAGCACCGGCAGCACTGCGCAAGAACACCAAGAACCCTCTACACTCTCAGCTCAACAAACTTCAAGACAGAAGCGAGCAAGACCAGCTGATGAGACTGAGTGCACGGTGCAGAAATTGTGCAGAGTTGACCGTGGGCAGTGTATGCAAGTCGAGGAGTGTAGGGGATCGGAAGAGCAGATGCGACACTTTCATGCTCTCCTTCAAGACGAGGTGGAATTGAAGAAGCAAGAGTGCACGGATCCCGTCACAATGATTAGAAGCATTCAAGTTGTCCTTGAGGTAAAGATCTTGCTCGCAGATTGATTCTTTTCTGATCCTTCGTTTCTTTACAGCTTTGTCATTCAGTTGGCATCATGGATGATATGGATTCAGAAGTCATTGCCTTGTCCATGAACTACTTGCAACGATGCTCGCAGAACGAGAAACTGGTCCAATCTTTCCGCAAATCAGTATTACTGCCTGTAGCCTGCATGCTGACGGCCTTGAAACTTTGCGAAACCTACGCTGTACGGATCTGCGACTTAGTACCTTTGTTGCAACCGTTTCAAGTGGACGAGGATGAGATTCGTGATGCAGAATGGGCCGTACTGGAAGCGCTTGATTTCAACCTTCAACCCGTCACAACTTCGAGGCTGCTCTCCTGTGTTCTGGACTTGGCGCCAGAAACAAAAAGAAATGCTCTGAGGGATGTCGCTGACATCTACCTCAAGCTCAGCCATTTGATCGCCGAGAATCATGTTAAACCATCCGTCATCGTGTCTGCCATCTTATGGAATCTTGCAAGGGAGAAGGGATGGGACTCATGCCAGTGCGAGTGGATTCCTAAAGAACTTCGTTGTTGGAGAGCAAGCTCGTCCGATGACTGTTGCAAGGATGAACAGCATGTCGCACAAGTGAAACTTGTCGCTAGACAGCTTCACATGTTCGCAAGGTGCGTGGGGGTTGATCTTGATGCAAGAAGGGAGTACATGGGTGGGAAGTGGTGGTTTTCGATCAAGAGCCACAGAGCTCAACAGATGTAGCATACTTTATTCATACTTTATTTGTTTCGTTGGAATGAAACGTCCGACACACGTGACATGACATGCCCGTACCGGCGCGTCGACTTACTCGTCCATGCTTGCCTGCCAGAGTGTTGAGCGCCGCAGATGCTTCGTCGCAGAAACAGTACTACTGTTGGAGAGTACAGCAGATTCTATCGAGGGCCACGTGACCGTCGTGGTGGTTCCGTGACTTTTAAAAAGATTCTTTTAAACTGAAACCGGGCGGCCGTGATCTGAATTATCGAGCAGAATTAGGAAATTAAGACCCCTTAATCCCGAGTCAAGAAATTAGATATCGATCTCTGAGGCGGGCGGCGGAGCAATGGCGGCCTCGGGCGCGGTAGTTCATGGCGCCCGCAGACGCTGTTCAGCATCGACCTCCTCGACCTCCTCGTCATCTTCTTCATATCCATTGAGATACGCATCCTCATCCTCATCCTCGTCGTCATCGCGGAGCGCGTTTCTTGTGTGCATGGTCTTGATGTCTTCGTTGGAAGGATCGCTGGCGTTCACGGGAGGGACTCTGCCTCTCCTCCGCCATGGCAACATGCCCTGCACCCGTGAGAGGCGACATGCTGATATTGTTACTATGAATTCGGATATTTCGGAGACCATGGGACGAAGGAGCATGCTGGGCTCCATCCTGCTCATTTCTTCTTTTGTGGTATTCTTCCTCTGCCTGCTCAATGGGCTCTAACAATTTTAGGCATCGGCGGGTGCTGGCGCCAAGGAGGGCACGGCTACAGTGGATACGTCTGCTTCGATCGACCTGACTACGCCGGAAGGGAACGCGAAAGCTCAAGTTCGTTTCTTCTTTCAATCGTCGTGGAAGACTGACATCTCTTTGTACAACAGGTCACTGACAAGGCATACTTTGACGTTTCGATTGGAGACTCAAAGAACACGAGCAGGATCGTAATAGGGCTGTATGGAGGCATCGTTCCTAAGGTGATGCTGCAACATGGCCGATGCCCTCAACTCATTCTCTCGCTCATCTTCATAGACTGTTGAGAACTTCAAGGGCTTGGTGAAAGGTTCCCCTGGCTACGGGTACAAGGGCACGGAGTTCTACCGTATTGTGCAAGGACTTCAGATCTCGGCAGGAGATGTATCAGATGGAGCACAACGTTGCTGAGCAAGTGAGAGTGGCCTTGCAGGTCCTGAACAACAACGGAAGGAGCGGGAAACCAGCGATCAACGACGGCGAGCCGTTCGAGCAGGTGAAGAGCCGATGGGAGCGTTGAGATGGATAACTTTTTTGCGTGAAGGAAAACTTCAAGATCATGCACACAGCGCCAGGAATCGTTTCCATGCAGAACACGTTGGAGAAGACAGTGAGCAAGAAGAGGGGAGCTGAAATCGCATTTGACATGAAGTCTCCAGGTCGACTCGCGTTTCTTCATCAGCACCAGGAGAGAAATAGATATGGGTGGGAGACCGAACGAACCAAGGGATAGATCCTTCACTCACGTTTCATGTAGGATATTCGAAAATTTTCGACAACAAATATGTGGTAACCCTTCTCTCATGGCTCCACCCTGCTTCCTCAGTCCCTTCGCCTCCCTCCCCTCTTCCTGCTATTCCTCCTTCTTCTGCTTCGTCTGCCGCTCCTCTGCCTCCTTTTGCTTTCCCTGCTGGCCGATGCCTCCTCCTGCTACTCCTCATCTGATCAGACCTACACAGGCATTTGGCAAAGTGATCGAAGGGCTGGACGTGATTGAGGTGCGACTACCAGTCATTCTGAATGTCTTCAAGCCAATGCTTGCTTTCCTTCAGAAACTCGATTCCCTCGAGACCAAGTCTGGGCTGTTTGACAAAGGAGTCAACTCAGGGAAGCCCAAGGAAAAGGTGAGATGTCGGTGTGAGGGTAGGAGGGGAGGCGGGGGCTTCCCCTGACTCCTGTTGCCTGTCAGGTTGTCATTCAGGATTGCGGGTTGTTGTGAGCAGCGTCAGTGACGGTCACTCGTTGCTACTCAATGGCTGCTGGCAACCAGCAGTGACTGACTGTCAACCGTTGGTGACCACTGCCGCGATTAAGGCGGCGCCACTTGCCGTACACTGAATGTGGCAGTGATTTCATGCAACATACCGGTTGCAACTCGGTGAACTTGTACCGTCCACTCGGATGTATCACCTTGAACCCTTGCCATCCACGTGACTCGCACGGTACTCGGACTCCGAGTGATGGCACTGCCCCCGATCAGGCCGCCGGGAGCGGCGGCCGCCGCGACCGTGACGGCGGGTCGCCAGTAGTCCGACGGTCACTGAGGCTGGCAGCTAGAACGGCGGCAGCCTCAGTCCCGTCCTGGACGGTACGGTCAAGGCTGGTCGGATGACCGTACGCCGGCGGCTGGTGCAGTGCCGCGGCCTAGTACACGGTACCGTGAACCGTTTGTCGGAACTTTCAACGATTCAACCGAACGGTTCCGGGCTGCACCGTGACAGGGCAGGCTGGCAATCGGCCCTGATGGCAACCAGTTTTAAGCCAAGTTCCCGCCCGGGCCGCCCGCGGCCCGGGCGCACCGTCGTCCGACGGTCACCGTGCCACGGACTGAGAGCCGCACGCGGCACCCGCTCTTCAAGAAGGCTGAGGTGGGCCCGGCACCATCAAGCCAACCGGCTCATCCATTCCCTCTCGGTGGAGGTACCTAGGAATGTAGGGGAAAAGGGGGGTGGTATGACTTCAAACGTGCTGGACATTTCGTGTTTTTTCTTTTTGGAAATTTTCAAAACTTGGAGTAATATTTGGTGTTTATCCGTCTGAAAATCGATTGAGTGAGGCTGACCTTGAATGGGGAATGGGTTGTAGGGGTACAGATGAGTCTTTGTTGGGGGGGACACAAAATTGTGGGTGGGGGTGAAATTTTGTTGTTCCCCATGGGATAAGTGAGGGGTACTTTGATATCAATATGGTGGTACTTTGTCCTATGTGTACGAAAAGGTGGGGTACATCTGTGCAGGGTGGGCGAAGGAAGTAGGTGGTGGTGGGGTGAAGGTTCGGATAGAGGGGTGGGGGGTGGGGGTGCGGTGGTATTATCGATCGCCTTCTATGCAGACACTAGGGGAGGAGACAGGGAAAGAAGGAGGGAGGAGGAGGAAGGGGAGGGGAGGGACAGACTCGATGAGAGGATGCAAACATGCCCAGTAGAAGCGGCGAGCATGACGACGATGAAGCCATGGCACGCGCAGAGGAAGAAGGGAAGGGAGCGAGATAAAGTGAAAATCGAAGCGAGACGGCCGTATCAGGTTTCCTGGAAGTGAGGACGCTTCAATGGAGGATGGAGGATGCTGACAGCGATTGCGCATTGAGATGAGAAGAGCTGATAAGCTATATTCTGTGTGCAGGAGAACAAGAGACAGAGAGAGGTGGGAGGGGTGGGGGTGGGGGATGAAAGCGGACAAGGATAAAGTGAGCAATAGGATGGAGGTTGACCTCGGCTCTTCAGCTATCAAGAAAACTCCGCCTTACCCTCCCATCCAGCTTTCTTTCTTCTTGTCTCACACCTTTCTTGAACCTTGACAGCTCTCCTACTCCCTTCGTTGGATAGAACATTGTAGATGCAGCATCCGCTTGGCCGTGCGAATTGGCGCGCTGGTGCGAGGAGATGGTCAGAAGTAGGTTCTGCGATGAGATGTGAAGATAGGGAGATCGAGCATGTAGCTGAAGGAGCTGATGTATGTGGGTGCTTGAGCAAGCGTGCTTGCTGCAAGGAAAGTTGGAAAGACAAACGCTGAACCAGCAGGTGGCCTCGGTGAAGTTCTCATGTTTCGTGCAGGTAGAAGCCCTCTCGACTTGTTGGAAGGGGCTCATCAGAGAAGAAACCCCATGGCCTTGTGAAGGTGTAGAGGGGAGCTCCGAGGTTTGTAACCGCAGCCAAGGCCCCGCCCTTGTCTGGGAGGTGGTATCATGGACAAGAAAGACGACATGTGCAGAGACGACAATGAGGAACGAGGGCTAGAGTCGTCGTCGAGTCCTCTCCAGGGATCGCATGCTGCGAGTCACAACGGTGAGAGAAGTCGACGTGTCGGATGTGATGCATTGCGATTGACCCAGTCGCAGGGGCAGGGGCGCCCAGCGCCTCCAAAGGAGGCGACGAGCACATGAACGGGTCGAGGGAGAGGATGCAGGTAGCAGGCAGTGAGGAGCGCTCATCTCTGCACGGGGAAGCTGCTGAAGGAGGAGGAGGGAGAGACGCCCTGCCGTCCTACACGCCGAGCCCGGACTACGACTCATGCAGGAGTCTAATCTACAGCTACTTCAATCAGATCACCATGGGGTGCGGTACCGTCTACTGCACCAACAGGAACTGCTTCTCCTGCCCTGAAGGGCCCCGGCTCGACCCCACCTCGGCCGCCCTCCTGGCCGTGAAGCTCGCGCAGAGCACGACCCACTTCCTGTGTGCTGGAGCTGCCGTGACCATCCCGGAGAGCCTGCAGTGGACGGAGGCCAGCTCTACCTCAGCTGAGCTTGTGCCCCTCAAGAAGCTCTTGCAGGCAGCAACGTCTGCTGAGTCCAACGTGAGCACGCAGCTGGAGCTTGCAGACGCGATCAAGAGGTGCCTGTCTAGCTCGGAGTCGGCGAGCTGGAGCTTCCTCAAGAACGGGCGGCCATGCAGGGCCAACGAGGAGAGCTCGGGCATCGACTTCGATGCGGTTAGCGAGGCCTTCGCCGCCATGGCAAAGTGCCGGAAGCCCATAGCCATGGTGAATGGAGAGGGTGCTCTGACCGACAGCATCGTCAACGACATGGTAGCGTTGGCGTTCGAGGGGCTTCTGAGCAAGCTGGCGCCCCGCCTGCTGGTACGGGGACGAGCAACAAGCTGGAGCACCTGCGGATGTTCGTCGTCCTCCTCCTCTGGCCGGGCCTGATGGAGCCGGAGTTCTACAACAGCATCTTCAAGAAGGTTTGCAGCTCCGTCAATCAGCTGAAGCAGGACCACCGAGACATCCTGCAGCGATGGCTGGAGGAGGTGGAGGAGGAGGCGTTCCGCGAGATCGTCGTTGCCTTCCAACAGTTCATCACCATCTATGTGAACGAGTTCCGTTGCATCGATGACCACGTCGCGTCTGCCACCAAGGTCCTTAAGATCCTGTGGGGCAGCAACCAGAGCAGGACAAGGGTCTCGTACAAGGAGTTCTACAACGACGCGATCAACGAGCTCGTCGACTTCACGGAGGACTTTGCGAGATGGAAGGACACTCAGCGTTGTCCCTTCTCCTTCTGCGACCATCCCTTCGTCCTCGACCCCTCCACTAAGTCGAAGCTTCTCCAGCTGGACGCCAACAACCAGATGAGGACGCAGATCAGGTCCGCGCTGTTCCGCAGCATCTTCGGAGGGAACGAGTGCCCCTACCTCATCCTCAAGGTGAGGAGGGAGAACTTGATCAGGGATACGCTCGTTCAGATCTCTGCGCAGCAGGACGGGAACGAGACGTTCTTGAAGAAGCCGCTCAAGGTCGTGTTCAAGGGGGAGGAAGGAATCGATGAGGGGGGCGTCCAGAAGGAATTCTTCCAGCTCATCGTCCGGCAAATGTTCGACCTCAACTACGGCATGTTCACCTACGATGACGATAGCCGGACTTTCTGGTTCTCTGCCACGGCCCTGGAGAATGCGAGGGAGTTCAACCTGATAGGGAAAGTCTTCGGCCTCGCAATCTACAACAGCGTCATCCTCGATGTTCACTTCCCCATGGTCGTGTACAAGAAGCTGATGGGGTTTCAGCCCTGCCTGCTCGACCTCAAGGACTGCAATCCGGGCCTCGCCCGTGGTCTCCAGAGCCTGTTGGACTTCGACGGGGACGTGGAGGAAGTTTTTGCTCGCTCATTTGTAGTGGATTATGAGGAGTTTGGAGTGATGAAGACGCACGAGCTGAAGCCGGGTGAGGAGGAGGAGGAGGAGGAGGGAGGGAGGAGGAGGAGGAGGAGGAGGAGGAGGA